TTTGGTTACGACGGAAGGGTTTTGGCTGTTGTTGGTGGTGGGCCACTTTGTATTTTTCTGGTTTTGTTTTATCGGAGGTTTTTTGTGGCTGGTTTTTGTTGGCTTTTTCTGTTTCTTCTGGGTTACGTAGCAGTTGGCTTGTTTTGTTGGCCTTTTTCTGTTTTTTCTGGGTACGGGAGGGGTCTTTTTGGGGGCTGTTGTTGGTTTCTTTTTTGTACTTTTTTTTCATGGTTTAACGAAGGGTTTTTTTTGGGCTGTTGTTTTGGGCCTTCTCTCTCTTGGTTTTTTTTTACCAAGGTTGAGGTATTTGCTGTGTGGCTTTTCCTTGGTCACTGGTACACAAAGGGGTTTTTTTGGGCTGTTTTGTGCTTTGTTCTTGTTTCAACTGGGTTTTTTTTTTACAATATAAAAAGGGTTGTAGCTGGTGTTTTTTTTGCTTTTTCTTGTCACTGGTTTTTATAACATAAAAGGGGGTTGGTGTTGGCTTCTGTTTCTTCTACTGGTACGGGGAAGGGTAGTTTTTTTGGCTGTTGTTGCCCTCTGTCCCCCCCACCACCATTGGTTTTAGAGTTTATTGGATTGTTTTTGTTGGGGGCTTCTGGGTCCCTCTGGTTTTTTATCGGGATCTGAAGGTTGGCTTTGTGTTTGGGGGGCCTTTTTTTGGTTTTTCCACGGTTTTTTACAGGGGGTGGGTGGGTTTGGGGTCTCTGTCTTTCGGGTAACGGAAGGGCGGTTTTGGGGCTTTTTTGGTTTTTGGGCTTTTCTTGTTTCCCCCCACCAAACTGGTTCGATAAGGAAAGGGTTCTTTGCTGTGGGGCTTCTTTTTCCAATGGGGTATTTTTTTTTTTTAAAGGAGGGTTTTTTTTGATTTTGCTGTTGTTTTTTTATTGGCTTCTTTTGTCCAAAAACTTTGGTAAAGAGGGTTTATATTGACTGTTGTGCTTTTCTTTTTAACTTGGTTAACCGGGGGGGGTGGGGAAACCGAGGGTTTTTTGCTGTGTTGCTTTTTGTTTCCAAACTTGGTACGATAAGGTATGGCTGTTGGTTGCTTTCCTGGTCCAAACTTTTTGGTCGAAGGGGTTGGGGGATTTGGGGTAGGACTGTCTTGGTTTTTTTTTTTTTTATTTTACTGGTTCATCCATAGGTTTTTGGATGTGTTTGCTTTTCTGTGCCTTTTTTTATGGTTTTTTTAACCCCAATAAGGTTTTGCTGTTGGGGTTTTTCTGTTTTCTGGTTTATAACGAAAGGTTTGGCTTTGATGGGTTTGGGATTCTGGGTTCTCTGGTTACCGGATGGGGTTTATTTTTTTGTTGTGTTGGTGAACTTCTGTTTGGTACCAGGTTTTTTTATGTGCTGGTGTTGTTTTTTTTGGTCACTGGTTTAATGGGTTTGGGCTTGTTTGTTGGGGGCTTCTGGTTTTTCCCCCCCCCCAAACCTGTTTTTTTACAAGGTTTGCTTGTGGGTTGGGTCTGGTTTTCCACTGGGTTTTTAAAACCAAAATAAAGGGTGCCTTAACCTTAACCATCTTAACTCAGTCCACCTTAACCTTAACCTTAACCATCTTACTCAGACCACCTTAACCTTAACCATCTTACTCAGACCACCTTAACCCTAACCTTAACCATCTTACTCAGACCACCTTAACCCTAACCTTAACCTTCTTACTCAGACCACCTTAACCCTAACCTTAACCTTCTTACTCAGACCACCTTAACCTTAACCTTAACCATCTTACTCAGACAACTCAAACTTAACCAGTCACCACTTAAGAACTTTTGTCTAAAACTAATTTGTAAGTAGGATTGTTACCTCCGGTTTCGTCCCGATTCCGTTTATGATCTAGTGCCGACCCCTGCGGAAAGGCGAGGGTTAGCTACTGATGCTAATGCTAATGCTAATGCTAATGCTAATGCATCCAGGACTGCCACCTGTGGAGAGGCAACGGTTACTGACGCTTCTGATGCTAAAGCTACTGATGCTAAAGCTACTGATGCTACTGCTACCGCTAATGATGCTACTGAAACCTGTGGGGAGGCTAGCTAGGGTTACTGATGTAACTGCCTTAAATTCTGGTCTCTCTCTCTGGTCTCTCTCTCTGGTCTCTCTCTCTGGTCTCTCTCTCTCTGGTCTCTCTCTCTGGTCTCTCTCTCTCTGGTCTCTCTCTCTGGTCTCTCTCTCTGGTCTCTCTCTCTGGTCTCTCTCTGGTCTCTCTCTCTCTGGTCTATCTCTCTCTGGTCTATCTCTCTCTGGTCTATCTCTCTCTGGTCTATCTCTCTCTGGTCTATCTCTCTCTGGTCTCTCTCTCTGGTCTCTCTCTCTCTGGTCTGTCTCTCTCTGGTCTGTCTCTCTCTGGTCTCTCTCTCTCTGGTCTCTCTCTCTCTGGTCTCTCTCTCTCTGGTCTCTCTCTCTCTGGTCTCTCTCTCTGGTCTCTCTCTCTCTGGTCTCTCTCTCTCTGGTCTCTCTCTGGTCTCTCTCTCTGGTCTCTCTCTCTGGTCTCTCTCTGGTCTCTCTCTCTCTGGTCTCTCTCTCTCTGGTCTCTCTCTCTCTGGTCTCTCTCTCTCTGGTCTATCTCTCTCTGGTCTATCTCTCTCTGGTCTCTCTCTCTCTGGTCTCTCTCTCTCTGGTCTGTCTCTCTCTGGTCTGTCTCTCTCTGGTCTCTCTCTCTCTGGTCTCTCTCTCTCTGGTCTCTCTCTCTCTGGTCTCTCTCTCTCTGGTCTCTCTCTCTGGTCTCTCTCTCTCTGGTCTCTCTCTCTGGTCTCTCTCTCTGGTCTCTCTCTGGTCTCTCTCTCTCTGGTCTCTCTCTCTCTGGTCTCTCTCTCTCTGGTCTCTCTCTCTCTCTGGTCTCTCTCTCTGGTCTCTCTCTCTCTGGTCTCTCTCTCTCTGGTCTCTCTCTCTGGTCTCTCTCTCTCTGGTCTCTCTCTCTGGTCTCTCTCTGGTCTCTCTCTCTGGTCTCTCTCTCTCTGGTCTCTCTCTCTCTGGTCTCTCTCTCTCTGGTCTCTCTCTCTCTGGTCTCTCTCTCTCTGGTCTCTCTCTCTCTGGTCTCTCTGGTCTCTGGTCTCTCTCTCTCTGGTCTCTCTCTCTGGTCTCTCTCTCTCTGGTCTCTCTCTCTCTGGTCTCTCTCTCTCTGGTCTCTCTCTCTCTCTCTGGTCTCTCTCTCTCTGGTCTCTCTCTGTAAAAAAGAGAAGTTGAGATTGCGTCAAATGTTTCTTTTAAAACTAGGAAAGCTTTTAAAATAAATTGCCAATTTCTTCAAAAGCTTTTAGAGAAGTTGTGGCTTTGACACAGGAATAAATGATCAGTTAGAAAGAGACACCAGAGAAACCAGTTTGATCCAGTTTAGGGTTCAGTCTGGACTGGTTCTTTTGATAAAACTCTTATCAAACTGTCATGTCTCAGTCCTGGGTCTACAGCCTCGGTCCTGGGTCTACAGCCTCGGTCCTGGGTCTACAGCCTCAGTCCTGGGTCTACAGCTTCAGTCCTGGGTCTACAGCCTCAGTCCTGGGTCTACAGCCTCAGTCCTGGGTCTACAGCCTCAGTCCTGGGTCTACAGCCTCAGTCCTGGGTCTACAGCCTCAGTCCTGGATCTACAGCCTCAGTCCTTGGTCTACAGCCTCAGTCCTGGGTCTAGAGCCTCAGTCCTGGGTCTACAGCCTCAGTCCTGGGTCTACAGCCTCAGTCCTGGGTCTAGAGCCTCAGTCCTGGGTCTACAGCCTCAGTCCTGGGTCTACAGCCTCAGTCCTGGGTCTAGAGCCTCAGTCCTGGGTCTACAGTCTCAGTCCTGGATCTACAGCTTCAGTCCTGGGTCTACAGCCTCAGTCCTGGGTCTACAGCCTCAGTCCTGGGTCTACAGCCTCAGTCCTGGGTCTACAGCTTCAGTCCTGGGTCTACAGCCTCAGTCCTGGGTCTACAGCCTCAGTCCTGGGTCTACAGCCTCAGTCCTGGGTCTACAGCCTCAGTCCTGGGTCTACAGCCTCAGTCCTGGGTCTACAGCCTCAGTCCTGGGTGAAGTGAGGTGAAACCAGAAGTGAATTATTGTCACATTTGTCAAACATTAATAGAAAGTTTCTGTCTGAGTCACGGCTGAAAAGAGGAAAGAACAAACAGTGTAGTTCTCTCTAAAGCTGAGGCTGAGTTTAAAAACATGGATCTTTTCACAGACGACGCCTCAGTTATTAAATTGTTTTGTTTTGTAATTTCAGAACTGTGCAAAAAATAGACCAGAGAGAGACCAGAGAGAGACCAGAGAGAGACCAGAGAGAGACCAGAGAGAGACCAGAGAGAGACCAGAGAGAGACCAGAGAGAGACCAGAGAGAGACCAGAGATAGACCAGAGAGAGACCAGAGAGAGACCAGAGAGAGACCAGAGAGAGACCAGAGAGAGACCAGAGGGAGACCAGAGAGAGACCAGAGAGAGACCAGAGAGAGACCAGAGAGAGACCAGAGAGAGAGACCAGAGAGAGAGACCAGAGAGAGACCAGAGAGAGAGACCAGAGAGAGACCAGAGAGAGAGACCAGAGAGAGACCAGAGAGAGAGACCAGAGAGAAAGACCAGAGAGAGAGACCAGAGAGAGACCAGAGAGAGACCAGACAGAGACCAGAGAGAGACCAGAGAGAGACCAGAGAGAGACCAGAGAGAGGCCAGACAGAGACCAGACAGAGACCAAACAGAGACCAGACAGAGACCAGACAGAGACCAGAGAGAGACCAGAGAGAGACCAGAGGGAGACCAGGGAGAGACCAGGGAGAGACCAGGGAGAGACCAGGGAGAGACCAGGGAGAGACCAGGGAGAGACCAGAGAGAGACCAGGGAGAGACCAGAGAGAGACCAGAGAGAGACCAGAGGGAGACCAGAGAGAGAGAGAGACCAGAGAGAAAGAGAGACCAGAGAGAGACCAGGATGTAGACAGTGTAACAGAGACGACACTTCAAAGTCTGATACATGTGTGTTCTGAAAGTCAGGGAGTTGAGCTTTAAACATATTTTTTCTGTCAGTTTAAAGGTCAGTGCAGGCTGCGAGGCACAACGTTCAGATCGGAGACAAGAATGTCCACAACTGAACTCAACACGAACCAGAGAAACACCACTATTACCGGTATCTATGGTAACCATGGTGACACTCAAAAGTCAGATTAAAGTCTGAGTTTGGAGCTAATCTCTATGTAATCTCTAGAAACATCCACACAAAACAAAAACAAAGTCTGGAAGACCCACAGTTTCTTTGTCAGTACAGGGTCTCTCTCTGGTCTCTCTCACTGGTCTCTCTCTGGTCTCTCTCTGGTCTCTCTCTGGTCTCTCTCTCTGGTCTCTCTCTCTGGTCTCTCTCTCTGGTCTCTCTCTGGTCTCTCTCTGGTCTCTCTCTGGTCTCTCTCTGGTCTCTCTCTGGTCTCTCTCTGGTCTCTCTCTGGTCTCTCTCTCTGGTCTCTCTCTGGTCTCTCTCTGGTCTCTCTCTCTGGTCTCTCTCTGGTCTCTCTCTCTGGTCTCTCTCTCTGGTCTCTCTCTCTGGTCTCTCTCTCTGGTCTCTCTCTGGTCTCTCTCTGGTCTCTCTCTCTGGTCTCTCTCTGGTCTCTCTCTGGTCTCTCTCTGGTCTCTCTCTGGTCTCTCTCTCTGGTCTCTCTCTGGTCTCTCTCTCTGGTCTCTCTCTCTGGTCTCTCTCTGGTCTCTCTCTGGTCTCTCTCTGGTCTCTCTCTGGTCTCTCTCTGGTCTCTCTCTCTGGTCTCTCTCTCTGGTCTCTCTCTGGTCTCTCTCTCTGGTCTCTCTCTCTGGTCTCTCTCTCTGGTCTCTCTCTCTGGTCTCTCTCTGGTCTCTCTCTGGTCTCTCTCTGGTCTCTCTCTCTGGTCTCTCTCTGGTCTCTCTCTGGTCTCCCTCTGGTCTCTCTCTGGTCTCTCTCTGGTCTCTCTCTGGTCTCTCTCTCTGGTCTCTCTCTGGTCTCTCTCTGGTCTCTCTCTCTGGTCTCTCTCTCTGGTCTCTCTCTCTGGTCTCTCTCTGGTCTCTCTCTCTGGTCTCTCTCTCTGGTCTCTCTCTCTGGTCTCTCTCTCTGGTCTCTCTCTGGTCTCTCTCTGGTCTCTCTCTGGTCTCTCTCTCTGGTCTCTCTCTGGTCTCTCTCTGGTCTCCCTCTGGTCTCTCTCTGGTCTCTCTCTGGTCTCTCTCTGGTCTCTCTCTGGTCTCTCTCTCTGGTCTCTCTCTGGTCTCTCTCTGGTCTCTCTCTCTGGTCTCTCTCTGGTCTCTCTCTGGTCTCTCTCTCTGGTCTCTCTCTCTGGTCTCTCTCTGGTCTCTCTCTCTGGTCTCTCTCTGGTCTCTCTCTGGTCTCTCTCTCTGGTCTCTCTCTGGTCTCTCTCTGGTCTCTCTCTCTGGTCTCTCTCTGGTCTCTCTCTGGTCTCTCTCTGGTCTCTCTCTGGTCTCTCTCTCTGGTCTCTCTCTGGTCTCTCTCTGGTCTCTCTCTCTGGTCTCTCTCTGGTCTCTCTCTGGTCTCTCTCTCTGGTCTCTCTCTGGTCTCTCTCTGGTCTCTCTCTCTGGTCTCTCTCTGGTCACAGCGTCACAGTCTCTCAGGTAACACCGCCTCCTCCCGTGCACCTTACATAACGCCCAGGCACGTTTATTTGTATGGCACAGTTTCTAAACAAGGAAATGACAGCAGTGAGAGGGAGAGGGGGAGAGATAGAGAGGGAGAGGGGGAGAGAGGGGGAGAGAGCCTGACCTGGGCCTGGTTCTGGACCAGCGTCTGCACCACCGCGCGCCCGATGCCCTGCGCGCCCCCGGTTACCAGCGCCACCTTGCCCTCCAGAGCCATGGTCCTGATGGTACTTATGGTCCTGATGGTTCTGAGGGTCTTGATGGTCCTCAGTACAGAGCGCATGTAGCTGAGGGGGCGGGATTTTCTCTTGAGACTTCTGCAATCTCCCCTCTGTGGGACAATCTACTGCTGCTACTACTGCTGCTACTACTGCTGCTGCTGCTGCTGCTGCTGCTATTTAGACTTCTACTTTTGCTTCTGCTTCCTTCTTCCCCTAAACCCCGCCCTCTCTTCTCTTCTCACTCACACATACAAAGTCACACATGTAAACACACACACACATTCCTTCCCTCACCTGTCCGTTGGGTCCTCCCACATTCCTTCCCACACCTGTCCTCTGGCTCCTCCCACATTCTCTTCCTCACCTGTACTGACTCCTCCCACATTCTCTTCCTCACCTGTACTGACTCCTCCCACATTCTCTCCATCACCTGTCCTCTGGCTCCTCCCACGCGTATCCTTTGACTCCTCCCACATTCTCTCCCTTACCTGTCCTCTGGCCCCTCCCACATTCTCTCCCTCACCTTTCCTCTGGCCCCTCCCACATTCTCTCGATCACCTATCCTCTGGCCCCTCCCACAGTCTCTCCATCACCTGTCCTTTGGCTCCTCCCACACGTATCCTCTGACTCCTCCCACATTCTCTCCCTCACCTATCCTCTGGCCCCTCCCACATTCTCTCCCTCACCTTTCCTCTGGCCCCTCCCACAGTCTCTCCATCACCTGTCCTCTGACTCCTCCCACATTCTCTCCCTTACCTGTCCTCTGGCCCCTCCCACATTCTCTCCCTCACCTGTCCTCTGGCCCCTCCCACATTCTCTCCCTCACCTGTCCTCTGGCCCCTCCCACATTCTTCCCCTCACCTGTCCTCTGGCCCCTCCCACACCTGTCCTCTGGCCCCTCCCACACCCAACAATTGGACTTCCTGGTTGTGATCGATGACATCATGCTAGGGACCGAGCTGATACTGCCTCAAGAACAAAATGTTTGAATAAATATTTCTTCAATCTTTAAAATTCAACAGTTTTATTTGTGTAAATTCAACCTCCACTTTTTTTTACAAAGACTTTTTATACAATAATTTAAATACGGACAAAAACAAGAAAATATCACCAACCCAGAAGTGACTGTGATAAGAGGGGGAGAGAGGAAGGGGGGAGAGGAGGAGAGAGGTGAGAGAGGGGGGACAGAAGGGGAGGGACAGAGAGGGGAGAGAGGAGAGAGACCTACTGTCCTTTCTTTAGTGTTGTGCCGGTCCTCTCCTGTCTCTCTCCTCGTTTGTGCTGTTGTGAAAAACATTTAAAATTATGGCCTTAAAGCTCGGGGCCCTAACTTTTACTCATATAAATAACACATGTAGTTTGACTGAACAGAGAGAGAGAGAGAGACCAGAGAGAGAAACCAGAGAGAGAAACCAGAGCGAGAGAGGCCAGAGAGAGAGAGACCAGAGCGAGAGGCCGGAGATAAAGACCAGAGCGAGAGAGGCCAGAGCAAGAGGCCAGAGAGAGAGAGACCAGAGCGAGAGGCCAGAGAGAAAGACCAGAGCGAGAGAGACCAGGGCAAGAGGCCAGAGAGAGAGAGACCAGAGCGAGAGAGGCCAGAGCGAGAGGCCGGAGAGAGAGAGACCAGAGAGAGAGACCAGAGAGAGAGACCAGAGCGAGAGAGACCAGAGAGAGAGACCAGAGCGAGAGAGACCAGAGAGAGACCAGAGCGAGAGGCCGGAGAGAGAGTAGAGCGAGAGGCAAGAGAGAGACCAGAGAGAAAGAGACACCAGAAAGAGACTAGAGAGAAACCAGAGAGAGACCAGAGATATGGTAAAACAGTTGAACAGATACTGAGATAATTTTCATCAGAGACAGAACTGTGTCAGAGAACACAGGGAAAGAGAGGAGTGTGGTTTGGACCTGTGTCCACGTTTCACCACAAAGCAGAAATATCAGAGTCAAAACAAACTGTAGAGTTTGAAAATACGTCTTCTAAGAGTAGAGTAGAGCAGAGTAGAGCAGAGCAGAGCAGAGCAGAGCAGAGCAGAGTAGAGTAGAGTAGAGTAGAGTAGAGTAGAGTAGAGTAGAGTAGAGCAGTGTAGAGTAGAGTAGAGTAGGGCAGGGAAGGGTAGGGTAGAGTAGAGTAGAGTAGAGTAGAGTAGAGCAGGGTAGAGTAGAGTAGAGTAGAGTAGAGTAGAGTAGAGCAGGGTAGAGTAGAGTAGAGTAAAGTAGAGTAGAGCAGGGTAGGGTAGAGTAGAGCAGAGCAGAGCAGAGCAGTGTAGAGTAGAGTAGAGTAGAGTAGAGTAGAGTAGAGTAGAGCAGAGCAGAGCAGTGTAGAGTAGAGTAGAGTAGAGTAGAGTAGAGTAGAGTAGAGCAGGGAAGGGTAGGGTAGGGGTAGAGTAGAGTAGAGTAGAGTAGAGTAGAGTAGAGTAGAGTAGAGTAGAGCAGGGAAGGGTAGGGTAGGGTAGGGTAGAGTAGAGTAGGGTAGGGTAGGGTAGGGTAGAGTAGAGTAGAGTAGAGTAGAGTAGAGTAGAGTAGAGTAGAGTAGGGTAGGGTAGGGTAGGGTAGAGTAGAGTAGAGTAGTATAGTATAGTGTAGCGTAGCGTAGCGTAGCGTAGAGTAGAGTAGAGTAGAGTAGAGTAGAGTAGAGTAGAGCAGGGAAGGGTAGGGTAGAGTAGAGTAGAGTAGAGCAGGGAAGGGTAGGGTAGGGTAGAGTAGAGTAGAGTAGTATAGTATAGTGTAGCGTAGCGTAGAGTAGAGTAGAGTAGAGTAGAGTAGAGTAGAGTAGAGTAGAGTAGAGTAGAGTAGAGTAGAATAGAGTAGAGTAGAGTAGAGTAGAGTAGAGTAGAATAGAGTAGAGTAGAGTAGAGTAGAGTAGAGTAGAGTAGAGTAGAGTAGAGTTTCCTTGTGGATGTGACACAAACAATAGAGGACTGTGTAATCTCTGATCCCACAGGAGGTCAGGGCTTTCCCACAATGCAATCTGATCCAGGACCAGTTCAGGGTCCTGGTGTTGGTCCTGGTCCAGGTCTTGGTCCTGGGCACGGTTCATGTAAACGTTACAGAAACATCAGGTATAAAGAAGTCATCAGTAAAAACATTCACACTGAGCCACTGTCAGAACCACCTTCTTCTGCTTTATCCAAGGCCCAGTGGCAGAGGCAGCAAAGACCAGAGAGAGACCAGGGAGAGAGACCAGGTAGAGAGACCAGGTAGAGAGACCAGAGAGAGACCAGGTAGAGAGACCAGAGAGAGAAACCAGAGAGAGACCAGAGAGAGAGACCAGAGAGAGACCAGAGAGAGACCAGAGAGAGAGACCAGAGAGAGACCAGAGAGAGAGACCAGAGAGAGACCAGAGAGAGAGACCAGAGAGAGAGACCAGGTAGAGAGACCAGAGAGAGAAACCAGAGAGAGACCAGAGAGAGAGACCAGAGAGAGAGACCAGGGCGAGACCAGAGAGAGAGATCAGAGAGAGACCAGAGAGAGAGATCAGAGAGAGACCAGAGAGAGACCAGAGAGAGACCAGAGAGAGAGACCAGAGAGAGAAATCAGAGAGAGACCAGAGAGAGAGACCAGAGAGAGAGACCAGGGCGAGACCAGAGAGAGAGACCAGGGAGAGACCAGAGAGAGACCAGAGAGAGACCAGGGAGAGACCAGAGAGAGACCAGAGAGAGACCAGGGAGAGACCAGAGAGACCAGAGAGAGACCAGGGAGAGACCAGAGAGAGAGACCAGAGAGAGACCAGAGAGAGGCCAGAGAGAGACCAGAGAGAGACCAGAGAGAGATCAGAGAGAGACCAGAGAGAGACCAGAGAGAGACCAGAGAGAGACCAGAGAGAGAGACCAGAGAGAGACTCATGTGTAACCTCTAACCACACAGTATTTGTCTCCTTCTAGACATGTTCCTCGTCTCCGCGGTGTCTTCTGGATAATCTCCTGGTGTGGAGGAGCAGCGGCTTTCCCAAAGAGACGTTCACACAGAGGGACAGAGCTCTGACTGCAGACGCTGCTCCCTCTTCACCACAACATCACTGCACAAGCTCCACCCCTCCCTCACTGAGACCAGACCAGAAACCAGACTTGAGAGACTAGAACTCTTGAGGAAGTCTGGGGAGGACAAAGACAACAACCGGCCTCTGGTCCTGACAGTGGTCCTTAATCCGGTCTCTGTGGTCCCACCTGGTCTCTGGCCTCTGACAGCGGTCGCACCTGGTCTCTGGCTTCTGACTGTGGTCTCACCTGGTCTTTGACCCCGGTCCGAAATCGGTCTCTGGCCTCTAACTAGACCAAAGACCTCTGGAACTAGGCCTCAGAACTGGTCTCTGTGGTCCTCAAACCAGTTTCTGTGGTCCCACCTGGTCTCTGGCCTCTGTCAGTGGTCCCACCTGGTCTTTGTGGTCCCACCTGGTCTCTGGCTTCTGACTGTGGTCCCAACTGGTCTCTGTGGTCCCACCTGGTCTCTGGCCTCTGACTAAACCTCTAAACCCAGACCTCGGCCTCAGACCTTTCCACGAAGACACAGATCCTTTTCTTTCGTGCCTTTGTGACTCATGATATAAACCTGTGCCTTGCTCTTGGGCAAGACAATTCCTCTTGAGCGTCACACCGTCACACAAACCAAACAAAGATGAAGGAAGGCTCCAGACAAACACAGTGAGAGAAGCGTTTTAGACAACGACACACAGAGCCACAGAAGCGTACGGGGCCCTCCTGTTGCGACGCTACTGCTGCGGGTTGAAGTCCTCGTGCCGCAGGATCTTGTAGAGGACCCAGTAGAAGATGTTGAAGAAGAGAAAGGCCAGAGGGAATCCGGCCCGGGACACGGTGTCGATCTTCTTGGCTCGGTCGATGAACAGTTTCCGCATCTCGTCCGTGGAGCGCCCCCCGCTGGTGGGAGCTGCGGTGGCGCCGCTAGCTCCGTTAGCGCCGTTAGGTCCCGGCTGGTCCGGGTTTGAGGAGGTCAGGGCGTGGTTCAGGGAGGTCTTGGGGTCTTTGGTTCCGCTGGGGGTGGAGGTGATCCGGCTCTCCCGGACCTCAGACTCCTGGGAGAGAGAGAGCGTGAGAGACAAGAGAGTATGAGGAGAGGACTGACGGAGTGTGACATCACAATAGTGTTAGCCGTAATGCTGAAGAAGGAGATTTGGAGGTAAGCTAGGAGGAAATGTCCTTATATGGGAATTGGTTCTGTGAAGACCAGAGAGAGACCAGAGAGAGAGACCAGAGAGAGACCAGAGAGAGAGACCAGAGAGAGACCAGAGAGAGACCAGAGAGAGAGACCAGAGAGAGAGACCAGAGAGAGACCAGAGAGAGAGACCAGAGAGAGAGACCAGAGAGAGACCAGAGAGAGAGACCAGAGAGAGAGACCAGAGAGAGAGACCAGAGAGAGACCAGAGAGAGAGACCAGAGAGAGAGACCAGAGAGAGACCAGAGAGAGAGACCAGAGAGAGAGACCAGAGAGAGACCAGAGAGAGAGACCAGAGAGAGAGACCAGAGAGAGAGACCAGAGAGAGACCACTATACCCTGCACTGTATCAACATCAGCGGCATGGCGCAGCCGGGGGCTGCCTGAAAGCAAGCGCCTTGTGGCCGGGCCTCAGCCCAAGGGGCCCGGCGGGCTCAGCCTGAAGTGATGACGTGGGCAGGCCCTCCTGTGGGCAGGCCCTCCTGTGGGCAGGCCCTCCTGTGGGCCCACCACCTATAGAGGGATCTGTGGCGGTCAGGTGCTGAGAGGACTGGGCAGCAGCCGAAGGCGGAGACCTCGGCGACCCAGCCCACGCACACAACATCTGGCTCAGCCGCCACGTGTTGGAGTTCTCCATGGTGAATGAAAGGGTCGCGTCCCTCCGCCTCTGGGTGGGGGACAAGTCTCTCACTGTTGTTGTGCCTACAGTCCAGTCCAGTCCAGTTTATTTATAAAGCACTAATAAAAACAGCAAGGTTGACTAAAGTGCCTACGGGCCTAACAGCAGTGCAGAGTACTCGGACTTCTTGGAGCCCTTGGAAGGGGTACTGGACAGTGCACGGATCGAAGACTTCGTTATTCTCCTGGGGGACTTCAACGCCCTGTGAAGGGGGAGAGCAGCCCTGATCTGACCAACACCATGTTCGAGCACAAGGGTGTCCACCAGGGGGCGCCAGGACCTGAGGCTGGAGGTTGATGATCAACTTTGTTGTCGTATCATCTGACCTTCGGCCGCGTTTCTCAGACACTCGGGTGAAGAGAGGGGCGGAGCTGTCAACCGATCACCACCTGGTCGTGAGTTGGATCCGCTGGCAGGGGAAGAAGCCGGGCAGACCCACGCGTATAGTGAGGGTCTGCTGGGAACGTCTCGCTGAGCCCCCTGTCAGACGGACTTTCAACTCACATCTCTGGGAGAGCTTCTCCCAGGTCCCGGCGGAGGAGGGGGACATTGAGTCTGAGTGGACCATGTTCTCTTCCTCTATCGCCGATGCGGCTGCTCGTAGCTGTGGTCGCAAGGTCTCTGGTGCTGGTCCCGGCGGGAAACCCTCAAACCCGGTGGTGGACACCGGCAGTAAGGGATGCCGTCAGGCTGAAGAAGGAGTCCTATCGAGCCATGATGGTTCGGGGGACTCCTGAGGCAGCTGTCCAGTACCGGCAGGCCAAGCGTGCCGCGGCCCGGGCTGTTGCAGAGGCAAAAATCTGGGACTGGGAGGAGAAGAGATTCTGGCAAACCGCGCCAACGAACCAGGACCTGCAACATGTACTGGGGCGGTTTGCAGCCGAGTGTGACACGGCTGGGATGAGAATCAGCACCTCCAAATCTGAGGCCATGGTGCTCGACCGGAAAAAGGTGCCTTGCCCTCTGCAGGTGGGTGGAGAGGTCCTTCCTCAAGTGGAGGAGTTCAAGTATCTCGGGGTCTTGTTCACGAGTGGGGGAAGAATGGAGCGTGAGATTGACAGGCGGATCGGTGCAGCGTGCGAGGGGGGAAGAGGGAGCTGAGCCGAAAGGCAAAGCTCTCGATTTACCGGTCAATCTTCGTTCCCTCCCTCACCTATGGTCATGAGCTTTGGGTAATGACCGAAAGAACAAGATCGCGGATACAAGCGGTCGAAATGAGCTTCCTCCGCAGAGTGGCTGGGCGTTCCCTTAGAGATAGGGTGAGGAGCTCAGTCACACGGGAGGAGCTCGGAATAGAGCCGCTGCTACTCCTCGGGCATCTGCTCCGGATGCCTCCTGGACGCCTCCCTAGGGAGGTGTTCCGGGCACGTCCCACCGGGAGGAGGCCCCGGGGAAGACCCAGGACACGCTGGAGAGACTATATCTCTCAGCTGGCCTGGGAACACCTTGGGGTCCCCTGGAGGAAGTGTGTGTGTGGATAGGGAGTCTGGGCGTCTCTGCTTAGACTGCTGCCCCCGCGACAATTATTATTGGTATTGACGAGAAATGAGGAAATGCACACAAACACACATATAGACATGAGGAAGGGGAAGCCACACACACACACACGTGTAGGTGCACAGGCAGAACATGCAACACTCACGGATACATGTGTGGTTACCCTGTGCTGGAGCTGCAGGAGCTGGGGGAGGTGGGTCTGAGGCTGGGGCAGGACAGCTGGCATGACTGGGCCTGGTGTGGCACAGGCTGGTACTGCTGGTGCCTTTGTGACTGGGGTCTGGCTGGTCTGGTTGGGGTGGTGGCTGGCCTGGTTGGGGTGGTGGTGGGCCTGGTTGGGGTGGGGGCTGGCCTTGTTGGGGTGGTGGTTGGCCTGGTTGGGGTGGGGGCTGGCCTGTTTGGGGTGGTGGCTGGCCTGGTGGCTGACCTGGTTGGGGTGGTGGCTGGCCTGGTGGCTGGCCTGGTTGGGGTGGTGGCTGGCCTGGTGGCTGGCCTGGTTGGGGTGGTGGCTGGCCTGGTTGGGGTTGTGGCTGGCCTGGTGGCTGTCCTGGTTGGGGTGGTGGCTGGCCTGGTTGGGGTGGTGGCTGGCCTGGTTGGGGTGGTGGCTGGTCTGGTTGGGGTGGTGGCTGGCCTGGTTGGGGTGGTGGCTGGCCTGGTTGGGGTGGTGGCTGGTCTTGTTGGGGTGGTGGCTGGCCTGGTTGGGGTGGTGGCTGGTCTGGTTGGGGTGATGGCTGGCCTGGTTGGGGTGATGGCTGGCCTGGTTGGGGTGGTGGCAGGCCTGGTTGGGGTGGTGGCTGGCCTGGTTGGGGTGGTGGCTGGCCTGGTTGGGGTGGTGGCTGGCCTGGTGGCTGGTCTGGTTGGGGTGGTGGCTGGCCTGGTTGGGGTGATGGCTGGCCTGGTTGGGGTGGTGGCTGGCCTGGCTGGGGTAGAGGTCCCCCGTGAGTCCGTTGAGGGCCACTCGTCTCAGAGACTCGGCGAGCTCCTCTGGGTCCACCGCGCTTGGACACAGGGACTAACACGAGCATGCGACCACAAACACACAGAGAACACAGACTCAAAACCAAAGACCGCAATGAGACCGTAACGAGACCGTGAGACGCTCAGTCAACTTTTCTGTACAAGAGATTGACCTGAATTGAGAGAGAGTAGTTTAGTATCGAGACCAGAGGAAGAGAGAGATCAGAGAGAGAGACCAGATAGAGAGAGACCAGAGAGAGAGACCAGAGAGAAAGAAACCAGAAAGAGAGACCAGGCAGAGACCAGAGAGAGAGAGACCAGAGAGAAAGAAACCAGAAAGAGAAACCAGGCAGAGACCAGAGAGAGACCAGAGAGAGAGAGACCAGACAGACCAAAGAGAGACCAGAAAGATAGACACCAGGCAGAAACCAGAGAGAGAGACCAGAGAGAGACCAGAGAGAGACCAGAGAGAGACCAGAGAGAGAGGGACCAGAGAGAGAGAGAACCGGGGAGACCAGAGAGAGACCAGAGAGACCAAACAGACCAGCGAGAGAGGCCATAGAAAGAGGCCAGAGAAAGACCAGAGAGAGACCAGAGAGAGCCCAGAGAGAGAGACCAGAGAGAGACCAGAGAGAGAGACCAGAGAGAGACCAGAGAGAGACCAGAGAGAGAGACCAGAGAGAGCCCAGAGAGAGAGACCAGAGAGATGAAAGCAGGATGTTTCTGGTTTGAATTTATAGCAATGTGAAAGTTGTTGTGTTTGTGTCTTGACTGAAAAGTCGACTGAGAGACAAAAAACACACTTTTAACAAATAAGTCACAAATCAGACACATGCACAGAGAGGCATGCAGGAGATGAGGCTGCTGGTCTCAGTCCTGGTCCTGGTCCTGGTCCTGGTCACTCAGACACATGCACAGAGAGATATGCAGGAGGTGAGGCTGCTGGTCTCAGTTAGTCCTGGTGTCAATGGTACTGGTTCTGGTCGTGCTGCTGGTCCTGGTCGTGCTCTTGATACTGGTCTTTCTCCTGGTCCTGTTCTTGGTCCTGGTTCTAGTCCTTTCTGGTCTCACAAACGGAAATCAGGAAGGACTATTCTACATTCATAAAATTCTCTATAGAAAGATGTAGTACAAGGAACCGCCACCAGAGGTCAGTGCTGCTCAGAGGAGAAGACACCTAACCACCGTTCATATGAAAGACTTTGGTCCTGGTCCTGGTCTCAGTCCTGGCACTGGTCATAGTCCTGGTCCTGGCCCTGGTCCTGGTCTTACCTTGGTCTTGGTCTTGTAGCGTCTGAACCGCAGCAGTTCTTTGTGTTGTCTTGACACAAAGTTGACGGCGGCGTATTCTAGAAGAGCAGAGAAGACGAAGAGGAGACACACCGCCATCCAGATGTCTATGGCCTTCACATAGGAGACCTGAGACCAGAGAGAGACCAGGTGAGACCAGGGAGAGACCAGGTGAGACCAGGGAGAGACCAGGTAAGACCAGAGAGAGAGACCAAAGAGAGACCAGACAGAGACCAGATCTAACAAGATTAAGATTGAGACTTTGCCTGCATCAGTGTTCAGCCGGATATCATTTGTAACCTTAAAGCTGCACTAACTGACTTTGGGATTTTGAAGCCGCAGACTCGCTGGCCTCTCTCTTTCTGCTTCCCTCCCCACACCCACGAAGCTATCGCCCCCCACACACACCCACTGTTGGGACGAAGCTAGCGTCTCCCAATATGGATAATACATGGATATGGATTTGCACGTGGATGGCGTGACCATAGAACGATAGAACCGGGAAGCGCGGAGGAACGAGACTTTCTTTTGGATGGCTGTCTCGCTGTGTAAGCAGTAACCGGTGACGAAGACGAGGAAGCTTCAGGTTTGCTCCTCGGCTTGTTGTGCTAACTCAGCTGCCTATGCTAACAGGGACCTGTAGATTTCTCACAAAAGTGGGGGCCAGTGGTCCGCGGTGATTGGTCACAATCTGCGACCCGAAACACATTCTCTTCCTTGTTTCATCAAAACTTTATCTAAAATATAATGTCACGCCAGCACAAATCTGCGCTACTTTTTCGTCAAAAGGACGTATATCCCAATGCACTACATGGACATGGATAGCATTTTCGTAATGAATACAAAAATAAAGTCAGTTAGTGCAGCTTTAACGAGAGCAGTCTCAGTGCTGTGGTGGGGTCTAAAGCCGGAAACATATCAAATGAGTTGTTGATTATAAGAAATCTAGTAAGCTGTAGGTAGACAACTTTCTCAAGGACTTTCCCCATAAATGGCAGATTTGAGATGGGACGATAGTTGTTAAGTACCGTAGCATCGAGACTGCTCTTTTTTAGCAGGGGCCTGATGACTGCAGTTTTCAGGGCCTTTGGGAATATTCCAGAATGAAGGGATATGTTTACTATCTGTGTGAGTGAAGGTAACAGACTGCTCAGAACAGACTTCAGAAATCTAGTGGGTAGTACATCCAGGCTGCATGTGGAGGAGCTCAAACTGGAGATTATCTCTTGGACAGTTTGATCATTTACAGGTGCAAAGTGAGTTAGCTCAGAGAGCCTTTCTGGCTGTTGGATTGTTATCTGTGGATTGGAGACAATGGCGTTTTTGATGCCTTGAACCTTGTCATTGAAAAAATGTGCAAACTCATTACATTTACGTTTGGAAGTTAGCTCTAATGGCATTTGAACAGGGGGGTTTGTTAATCTATTAACTGTTGAAAACAGAACACGCAGATTGTTGCTGCAGCCTTCAATCATTTCAGAAAAATACCTTTCTGTCGTACTACGTAGCACCTGGTTAAACTCGCACAACTTATCTTTGAAGATCTCGTAATCAACCTGGAGGTTGGACTTGCGCCACTTTCGCTCGGCACTCCGGCACTTTCTCTTTTGTGCCCTGACCGAGTCTGCTTTAGCCCACGGCGCCTTCTGCTTATTTTTCACTATTTTAACCTTCACAGGGGCAACGGTATCCAGAACATTCAAAACACTAGAGGTGACAGAGTTAAACAGTTCATCTACAGTAGAATACGATGCATTTTCAAAGTTTATCATTGCCATAAATAGTTCACTCGTATTTTTATTTATGTGTCTTCTTCGAACAGTTGCAGAGTCCACTGGTGGTTTGTTAGTGAAACACATGTCAAAAAATACACAGAAATGATCCGAAAGAGCAACATCGACCACGTTTACATTTGAAATATTCACCCCCTTAGTAACTAACAGATCTAGAGTGTGCCCTTTGCTATGGGTGGGGCCACTCACGTGCTGAGTGAGACCAAAGGTATCAAGTAAAGAACTCAGCTCTCCTCCATCACCTCCTCCATCACCATCTCATCACCTCCTCCATCACCTCCTCCATCACCGTGTGGTTCGCTGGAGCCACAGTCAGGGACAAACAGAGACTACAGCGCATTGTGCGCTCTGCAGAGGAAGTGATTGGCCGCAGCCTCCCATCGCTGCAGGACCTATACGTCGCCCGAGCTCGAGGCCGGGCTGGTCGTATCACAGCCGACCCCTCTCACCCTGCACATGGACTATTCCAACCACTCCCCTCAGGCAGGAGACTGCGGTCCATCAGGACTAGAACCTCCCGCCACAAGAACAGTTTCTTCCCCTCTGCTGTTGGACTCTTGAACACTTCATATCCCGTCCCCCCGCCCTCAAGAAGTCACCTTACTACCCATATAAAGTCACTTTACTGCCTTTTATCAAGTCCCCTTACTGCCCCTTATAAAGTCACCTTACTGCCCCTTATAAAGTCACTTAACTGCCCTTTATCAAGTCCCCTCACTGCCCCTTATAAAGTCACCTTACTGCCCCTTAGAAGTCCCCTTACTGCCATTTATAAAGTCCCCTTACTGCCCCTTATAAAGTCCCCTTACTGCCCTTTATAAAGTCCCCTTACTGCCCCTTAGAAGTCACTTTACTGCCCCTTATAAAGTCCCCTTACTGCCCCTTAGAAGTCACTTTACTGCCCCTTATAAAGTCCGCTTACTGCCCCTTAGAAGTCACTTTACTGCCCTTTATAAAGTCCCCTTACAGCCCTTTATAAAGTCCCCTTACAGCCCCTTATTGTTAGGGTTGTGTTCTGGACCCCAAAGCAGAGACAAAGACTGAGCAGAATTCCAGGAAAGAATTTACTTTACAAAAAAAACGAATACAAAAACGTAAGGCAGGCAGTTGAGACCGGGAGCTGGCAGGTCAGGAAAAGGAAGACCTGAACACAGGACACAAAAAACATAAGAAAGACAGCAAGGCACAAACTCATACTGCTGCTGTACACGGACTTGTGACATAGTATAATCTGGCAGAGACGCGAAGTTCCAACAAGATACTTCAAGCTAGAGTGATGAGGCACAGGTGTGTGAGCCCACACACCTGCTGCAGAGCCAGCCACGCCCCCCGGTCTCACACATGCCCCGTAAAAAACAACAAAAAGGGAGGGGGGAAGCAGAGCAAAACCCAAACCCAAAACCTTATAAAGTCACCTTACTGCTCCTTATAAAGTCACCTTACTGCTCCTTATAAAGTCCCCTTACTGCTCCTTATAAAGTCACCTTACTGCTCCTTATAAAGTCCCCTTACTGCCCTTTATAAAGTCCCCTTACTGCTCCTTATAAAGTCCCCTTACTGCTCCTTATAAAGTCCCCTTACTGCTCCTTATAAAGTCCCCTTACTGCTCCTTATAAAGTCACCTTACTGCTCCTTATAAAGTCCCCTTACTGCCCTTTATAAAGTCCCCTTACTGCTCCTTATAAAGTCCCCTTACTGCTCCTTATAAAGTCCCCTTACTGCTCCTTATAAAGTCCCCTTACTGCTCCTTATAAAGTCACCTTACGGCTCCTTATAAAGTCCCCTTACTGCTCCTTATAAAGTCACCTTACTGCTCCTTATAAAGTCACCTTACTGCTCCTTATAAAGTCACCTTACTGCTCCTTATAAAGTCCCCTTACTGCTCCTTATAAAGTCCCCTTACTGCTCCTTATAAAGTCCCCTTACTGCTCCTTATAAAGTCCCCTTACTGCTCCTTATAAAGTCCCCTTACTGCTCCTTATAAAGTCCCCTTACTGCTCCTTATAAAGTCCCCTTACTGCTCCTTATAAAGTCCCCTTACTGCTCCTTATAAAGTCCCCTTACTGCTCCTTATAAAGTCCCCTTACTGCTCCTTATAAAGTCACCTTACTGCTCCTTATAAAGTCCCCTTACTGCTCCTTATAAAGTCACCTTACTGCTCCTTATAAAGTCACCTTACTGCTCCTTATAAAGTCCCCTTACTGCTCCTTATAAAGTCCCCTTACTGCTCCTTATAAAGTCCCCTTACTGCTCCTTATAAAGTCCCCTTGCTGCCCTTTATAAAGTCACCTTACTGCTCCTTATAAAGTCCCCTTACTGCCCCTTATAAAGTCCCCTTACTGCTCCTTAGAAGTCACTTTACTGCTCCTTATAAAGTCCCCTTACTGCCCCTTATAAAGTCCCCTTACTGCTCCTTAGAAGTCACTTTACTGCTCCTTATAAAGTCCCCTTACTGCTCCTTATAAAGTCCCCTTACTGCTCCTTATAAAGTCCCCTTACTGCTCCTTATAAAGTCACCTTACTGCTCCTTATAAAGTCCCCTTGCTGCTCCTTATAAAGTCCCCTTGCTGTCCTTTATAAAGTCCCCTTACTGCCCTTTAGAAGTCACTTTACAACCCTTTATGGACTCGCCACCTGCAGGAGGATCAGAGGGAGGATAGTGCAGTGACCCAGAGATGGAATAATAAACAGGTAGACAATGACAGGACATGACTTAGAAGTGTTGCTGATTTTTATTATGCTTTTACTCTATTCTTTGCCTCTCTTTTCTGACTCTCTCTCTCTCTCAGTTCAGTCCCAGCTCTCCCCCCTCTCCCTCCCCCTGCACCTCTCCCTCACCCCTCCCTCCTGGTCCTACCTCCCGCTGGTCCAGTCTGGTTTGGGGCAGGTCTTCTCCAACTCCAGCCCTTTCTGGTCGTCTCACAGTCTGCTCCTGGTGCCTCCTGCTGCCTGGGCACCTCCTCCTCAGCTGCACGCCTCCTATGGACCCTACTCTGTCACACAGGTGAGAGGAGGAGAGAGACCAGAGAGAGACCAGAGAGAGACCAGAGAGAGACCAGAGAGAGACCAGAGAGAGACCAGAAAGAGACCAGAGAGAGAGACCAGAGAGAGACCAGAGAGAGAGACCAGAGAGAAAGACCAGGGAGGGACCAGAGAGAGACCAGAGAGAGACCAGAGAGAGACCAGAGAGAGACCAGAGAGAGACCAGAGAGAGAGACCAGAGCGAGACCAGAGAGAGAGACCAGAGAGAAAGACCAGGGAGGGACCAGAGAGAGACCAGAGAGAGAGACCAGCGAGAGACCAGAGAGAGACCAGAGAGAGAGACCAGAGAGAAAGACCAGAGAGGGACCAGAGCGAGACCAGAGAGAAAGACCAGAGAGAAAGACCAGAGAGAAAGACCAGAGAGAGACCAGAGAGAGACCAGAGAGAGAGACCAGAGAGAAAGACCAGAGAGAGACCAGAGAGAGACCAGAGAGAGACCAGAGAGAGACCAGAGGGAGACCAGAGAGGGAGACCAGAGAGGGAGACCAGAGAGGGAGACCAGAGAGGGAGACCAGAGAGAGAGACCAGAGAGAGAGAGACCAGAGAGAGACCAGAGAGAGAGAGACCAGAGAGAGACCAGAGAGAGAGACCAGAGAGAGAAAGACCAGAGAGAAAGACCAGTGAGAAAGACCAGTGAGAACGACCAAAGAGAGACCAGAGAGAGACCAGAGAGAGACCAGAGAGAGACCAGAGAGAGAGACCAGAGAGAGAGACCAGAGAGAGAGACCAGAGAGAGAGACCAGAGAGAGAGACCAGAGAGAGACCAGAGAGAAAGACCAAAGAGAGACCAGAGAGAAAGACCAAAGAGAGACCAGAGAGAAAGACCAGAGAGAGAGACCAGAAAGAGACCAGAGAGCAGGGGAAGCTTGGACTACAGCAGGTTTCTCTTCCACATGGTGTCAGAACGATTTCCAACCAAGTGTTTTTTCATTCTCAAGATCCTGTTTTAGACTCAAACTGACTCCCTGATCCTCCGTGTACAGCCCCTGTCCTCCCTCCCCCCTCTCTCCCCCCCCTCCCTCTCGGCCTCCCTGCTGTCGGACCATGTGGAGCGCGAGGAGGACCAGCGAGGCCTGGAACGCTTCATGGTCCGGGTCCTGTTCCACCAGAGACCGGACTCCAGCGGGACCTGTGTGACTCTGCACGGCTTCAGAGAGACCCGCGAGACCAGGGCCTCCTGCATCACCCAGGTACCTGTCTGGTCTCTCTCTCTGGTCTCTCTCTGGTCTCTCTCTGGTCTCTCTCTGGTCTCTCTCTGGTCTCTCTCTGATCTCTCTCTGGTCTCTCCTGGTCTCTCTCTCTTTGGCCTCTCTCTGGTCTCTCTCTGGTCTCTCTCTCTGGTCTTTCTCTCTGGTCTCTCTCTGGTCTCTCTCTGATCTCTCTCTGGTCTCTCTCTGGTCTCTCTCTGGTCTCTCTCTGGTCTCTCTCTGGTCCCTCTCTGGTCTCTCCTGGTCTCTCTCTCTTTGGCCTCTCTCTGGTCTCTCTCTGGTCTGTCTCTGGTCTCTCTCTCTTTGGCCTCTCTCTGGTCTCTCTCTGGTCTCTCTCTCTGGTCTCTCTCTCTGGTCTCTCTCTGGTCTCTCTCTGGTCTCTCTCTGGTCTCTCTCTGGTCTCTCTCTGGTCTCTCTCTCTGGTCTCTCTCTCTGGTCTCTCTCTGGTCTCTCGCTCTGGTCCCTCGCTCTGGTCTCTCTGGTCTCTCTCTGGTCTCTCCCTGGTCTCTCTCTCTGGTCTCTCTCTGGTCTCTCCCTGGTCTCTCGCTCTGGTCTCTCTCTCTTTGGCCTCTCTCTGGTCTCTCTCTGGTCTCTCTCTCTGGTCTTTCTCTCTGGTCTCTGTCTCTGGTCTCTCTCTCTGGTCTCTCTCTGGTCTCTCTCTGATCTCTCTCTGGTCTCTCTCTGGTCTCTCTCTGATCTCTCTCTGGTCTCTCGCTCTGGTCCCTCGCTCTGGTCTCTCTGGTCTCTCTCTGGTCTCTCTGGTCTCTCTCTGGTCTCTCTCTCTGGTCTCTCTCTCTGGTCTCTCCCTGGTCTCTCGCTCTGGTCCCTCGCTCTGGTCTCTCTGGTCTCTCTCTCTGGTCTCTCTCCCTGGTCTCTCTCCCTGGTCTCTCTCCCTGGTCTCTCTCTCTGGTCCCTCTGGTCTTTCTCTGGTCCCTCTGGTCTCTCTCATTTAGAATGTGTCTGATCCGTAGCCTCCGTTGGGTTTCTGCGTGGTCACTCTGACGCTGCCCAGTGATTGGTTCAAGGACGAAACGATCGACCAATCACACGAGGGAAGAGCCGAGCTGCGGAGTCCGTCTCATCGCAGACGGAAGAGACGGAGACATCGAGTCCAAACCCTCAGGTAACGACGAGAGTGTGACATCACCACAGTGTGACATCACCACAGTGTGACATCACCACAGTGTGACATCACCACAGTGTGACATCACCACCTGTATGACATCACCACAGTGTGACATCACCAGTGTGACATCACCACAGTGTGACATCACCACAGTGTGACATCACCACAGTGTGACATCACCACAGTGTGACATCACCACAGTGTGACATCACCACAGTGTGACATCACCACTGGAGCCAATTTCTTTATACGGCCATTTTTCTCGATGATGTTTGCTTTGTGCATCTGACAAGAGCAAGAGAAACCATAGAGAGAGAGAATATAGAGAGAGAGAACAGAGAGAGAGAGAATATAGAGAGAGAGAACAGAGAGAGAGAGAATATAGAGAGAGAGAACAGAGAGAGAGAGAATATAGAGAGAGAGAACAGAGAGAGAGAGAATATAGAGAGAGAGAATATAGAGAGAGAGAACAGAGAGAGAGAGAATATAGAGAGAGAGAACAGAGAGAGAGAGAATATAGAGAGAGAACAGAGAGAGAATATAGAGAGAGAGAACAGAGAGAGAGAGAATATAGAGAGAGAGCAGAGAACGAGAGAATATAGAGAGAGAGAACATAGAGAGAGAGAATATAGAGAGAGAGAACAGAGAGAGAGAAAATATAGAGAGAGAGAACAGACAGAGAGAGAGACCAGAGAGAGACCAGATTCAGATTCAGTTTATTTGCCATTTGCAGTAAAAAACCACATAGGAATACATTATCAAAAGTCTCCAGTGTGCACAGACAAATACAGACATAAAACAACATTAAAAGACAGAAATAAAACAAATAAAACAGTAAACAAATGTCACTGTGAAATGGATCGACTAAAACAGTTTCAAAACAAGTGCAAATCATTAAAGTGCTCTGTTCACACTGATAACAGCCTGTGGATAAAAACTGTTAGCGTAACGAGATGTCCTGCATCTCAGAGAGCGATATCTTCTGCCAGAGGGAAGAAGCTGGAACATGGCTTTCCCAGGGAGGCCAGAAGAGTCATTAACAATCCTAAGAGCTTTGTTTAAAAGTCTGGATTTATAAAGAACCTCCAGAACAGGAAGCTCACAGCCCACGGTCCTCTCTCTGGTCTCTCTCTGGTCTTACTGTGGTCTCTCTCTGGTCTCTTTCTGGTCTGACTCTGGTCTCACTGTGGTCTCTCTCTGGTCTCTCTCTGGTCTCTCTCTGGTCTCTCTCTGGTCTCTCTCTGGTCTCACTGTGGTCTCTCTCTGGTCTCTCTCTGGTCTCTCTCTGGTCTCTCTCTGGTCTCTCTCTGGTCTCACTGTGGTCTCTCTCTGGTCTCACAGCCCACGGTCCTCTCTCTGGTCTCTCTCTGGTCTCACTGGTCTCTCTCTGGTCTCTCTCTGGTCTCACAGCCCACGGTCCTCTTTGCAGAGCGGAGCACCTTGTTTAAAGCTCTCTTTTCTTTATCTGTGATGTTTCCAAACCACACAGACACAGAACCAACAAGTAAACTCTCAATGGTGCAGCCATAAAAGTTAAGCACAATCTTAGAGTTAGTGGTAAATTCTCTAAGTTTACGCAGAAAGTAGAGACGCTGACGAGCTTTCTTAACGACTCGGTCAGTGTTTTTAACCCATTTCAGGTTAGACAGAGTTAAACCCAGAAACTTGCTCCTCTACGATCTGCACTTGGGAGTTGTCGATTGCGACAGGCAAATGAGAACTATTGCGACTGAAGTCGTGACCAGTTCACATGTTTTGGATGCGTTCAACTGGAGGTTGTTAGTTTGACTCCACTGAACCACATTTTGTATCTCTGCTCTATAAGAGGATTCATCAGTGTCACTGATGAGACCGATGATGGTGGTGTCATCAGTGTCACTGATGAGACCGATGATGGTGGTGTCATCAGCATATTTAAGGATCAGGTTAGAGTCAGAGGAGGACACACAATCGTGAGTGTACAAAGTAAAAAGCAAAGGACTCAAAATACATCCCTGAGGAGAACCAGTGCTCACAGAAACAACATCTGAAAAACAGTCATTGATTTTCACTCTCTGAGGTCTGTCAGTTAAAAAGCTAAAAATCCATTTACACATGGCAACACTTAAACCCAGAGACATGAGCTTTTCAATCAGTTTACCTGGGACAAGACAGTTAACCTGGGACAGGAGAGTTAACCTGGGACAGGAGAGTTAACCTGGGACAGGAGAGTTAACCTGGGACAGGAGAGTTAACCTGGGACAGGAGAGTTAACCTGGGACAGGACAGTTTACCTGGGACAAGGCAGTTAAAAGCAGAGCTATAGTCGATGAAAAGCATTCTGGCCACAGATTTACTAGTGTCCAAATGAGTGTAGACAGAGTTCAGAGCAAAGGAGATGCATCCTCCACACTCCTGTTCTGTCTGTAGCAAACTGGAGCGGGTCAACACTCACAGGGATCTGGCTCTTAATGAAGTCCAGCACAAGCCGCTCAAAAGTTTTCATAAGAACAGACGTGAGGGCCACAGGACGATAGTCATTCAGGCATGTCACAGGAGTTTTCTCAAGAACTGGAATGATGGTCGACTCTTTAAAGCAGTTCGGCACAGTACAGTTCCTTAGCGACAGGTTAAAAATGTCTGTTAGCACAGGGGCAAGTTGCTCAGAGCACAGACCAGAGAGAGACCAGAGAGAGAGAAAGAAACCAGACTAAAGAGAGAAACCAGAAGAAAAAGATAAACCAGACAAAAATGAGAGACCACAGTCAGAGAATAGAGAGAGAGAGAGACAGAACAGAAAGAGAGATACCAGAGCGAGAGAAAACAGAGAGAGACTAAAGAGAGAGACCAGTGAGAGTGGACAGGGGGGAAGGGGTCTCTCTCTCTGGTGTCTCTCTCTGGTGTCTCTCTCTGGTGTCTCTCTCTCTGGTGTCTCTCTCTCTGGTGTCTCTCTCTGGTGTCTCTCTCTGGTGTCTCTTTCTGGTGTCTCTCTCTGGTGTTTCTCTCTCTGGTGTCTCTCTCTGGTGTCTCTCTCTCTGGTGTCTCTCTCTCTGGTGTCTCTCTCTGGTGTCTTTCTCTCTGGTCTCTCTCTGATGTCCCTCTCTCTGGTGTCTCTCTCTCTCTCTGGTCTCTCTCTGGTGTCTCTCTCTCTGGTGTCTCTCTCTCTGGTGTCTCTCTCTGGTGTCTCTCTCTGGTGTCTCTTTCTGGTGTCTCTCTCTGGTGTTTCTCTCTCTGGTGTCTCTCTCTGGTGTCTCTCTCTCTGGTGTCTCTCTCTCTGGTGTCTCTCTCTGGTGTCTTTCTCTCTGGTCTCTCTCTCTGATGTCCCTCTCTCTGGTGTCTCTGATGTCCCTCTCTCTGGTCTCTCTCTCTCTCATCTCTCTCTGATGTCTCTCTCTCTGGTGTCTCTCTCTCTGGTCTCTCTCTGATGTCTCTCTCTCTGGTGTCTCTCTCTCTGGTCTCTCTCTCTGGTGTCTCTCTCTGGTCTCTCTCTGGTCTCTCTGTCTGGTGTCTCTCTCTCTGGTCTCTCTCTCTGGTGTTTCTCTCTCTGGTGTCTCTCTCTCTGGTGTCTCTCTCTCTGGTGTCTCTCTCTGGTGTCTCTCTCTGGTGTCTCTCTCTCTGGTGTCTCTCTCTGGTGTCTCTCTCTCTGGTCTCTCTGTCTGGTGTCTCTCTCTGGTGTCTCTCTCTCTGGTGTTTCTCTCTCTGGTGTGTCTCTCTCTGGTGTCTCTCTCTCTGGTCTCTCTCTCTGGTGTCTCTCTCTCTGGTGTCTCTCTCTCTGGTCTCTCTCTCTGGTCTCTCTCTGGTGTCTCTCTCTGGTGTCTCTCTCTCTGGTGTGTCTCTCTCTGGTGTCTCTCTCTCTAGTCTCTCTCTCTGGTGTCTCTCTCTCTGGTGTCTCTCTCTGGTCTCTCTCTCTGGTCTCTCTCTGGTGTCTCTCTCTGGTGTCTCTCTCTCTGGTGTCTCTCTCTCTGGTCTCTCTCTGGTGTCTCTCTCTCTGGTCTCTCTCTCTGGTCTCTCTCTCTGGTCTCTCTCTCTGGTCTCTCTCTGGTGTCTCTCTCTCTGACCCACTATCATCCGGGGCCTGGTCAGTTCTGAGTCAGTTGTGTCTGTGATGTGTTCGTTTAGACTCGTTCAGAGGCGGTAGGTCTGTCTGAGGTCCGTCTGAGGTCTGTCTGAGGTCTGTCTGAGGTCTGTCTGAGGTCTGTCTGAGGTCTGTCTGAGGTCTGTCTGAGGTCTGCCTGAGGTCCGTCTGAGGTCTGTCTGAGGTCCGTCTGAGGTCCGTCTGAGGTCCGTCTGAGGTCTGTCTGAGGTCAGTCTGAGGTCTGCCTGAGGTCTGCCTGAGGTCTGTCTGAGGTCTGTCTGAGGTCTGTCTGAGGTCTGTCTGAGGTCTGCCTGAGGTCTGTCTGAGGTCTGTCTGAGGTCTGTCTGAGGTCTGTCTGAGGTCTGTCTGAGGTCTGTCTGAGGTCTGTCTGAGGTCTGCCTGAGGTCTGCCTGAGGTCTGTCTGAGGTCTGTCTGAGGTCTGTCTGAGGTCTGTCTGAGGTCTGTCTGAGGTCTGTCTGAGGTCTGTCTGAGGTCTGTCTGAGGTCTGTCTGAGGTCTGCCTGAGGTCTGCCTGAGGTCTGTCTGAGGTCTGCCTGAGGTCCGTCTGAGGTCTGTCTGAGGTCTGCCTGAGGTCTGCCTGAGGTCCGTCTGAGGTCTGTCTGAGGTCTGTCTGAGGTCTGTCTGAGGTCTGTCTGAGGTCTGTCTGAGGTCTGTCTGAGGTCTGCCTGAGGTCTGTCTGAGGTCTGCCTGAGGTCTGTCTGAGGTCCGTCTGAGGTCTGTCTGAGGTCTGTCTGAGGTCTGTCTGAGGTCTGCCTGAGGTCTGCCTGAGGTCTGTCTGAGGTCTGTCTGAGGTCTGTCTGAGGTCTGTCTGAGGTCTGCCTGAGGTCCGTCTGAGGTCTGTCTGAGGTCCGTCTGAGGTCTGTCTGAGGTCTGCCTGAGGTCTGCCTGAGGTCCGTCTGAGGTCTGTCTGAGGTCTGTCTGAGGTCTGTCTGAGGTCTGCCTGAGGTCTGCCTGAGGTCTGCCTGAGGTCCGTCTGAGGTCTGTCTGAGGTCTGTCTGAGGTCTGCCTGAGGTCTGTCTGAGGTCTGTCTGAGGTCTGCCTGAGGTCCGCCTGAGGTCCGCCTGAGGTCTGTCTGAGGTCTGCCTGAGGTCTGCCTGAGGTCCGTCTGAGGTCCGTCTGAGGTCTGTCTGAGGTCTCTCTGAGGTCTGTCTGAGGTCTGCCTGAGGTCTGTCTGAGGTCCGTCTGAGGTCTGCCTGAGGTCTGCCTGAGGTCCGTCTGAGGTCCGTCTGAGGTCTGTCTGAGGTCTGTCTGAGGTCTGTCTGAGGTCTGTCTGAGGTCTGCCTGAGGTCTGCCTGAGGTCCGTCTGAGGTCCGTCTGAGGTCTGTCTGAGGTCTCTCTGAGGTCTGTCTGAGGTCTGCCTGAGGTCTGTCTGAGGTCTGTCTGAGGTCTCTCTGAGGTCTGTCTGAGGTCTGTCTGAGGTCTGTCTGAGGTCTGTCTGAGGTCTCTCTGAGGTCTGTCTGAGGTCTGCCTGAGGTCTGCCTGAGGTCTGCCTGAGGTCTGCCTGAGGTCCGTCTGAGGTCCGTCTGAGGTCTGTCTGAGGTCTCTCTGAGGTCTGTCTGAGGTCTCTCTGAGGTCTGCCTGAGGTCTGTCTGAGGTCTGCCTGAGGTCCGTCTGAGGTCTGCCTGAGGTCTGTCTGAGGTCTGTCTGAGGTCTGCCTGAGCTTTATAAATAAACTGGTTTGTATTGTTTTTTCACACGTTTCTAAATATTCCACTTTTCTTTTGTCTCAGGTTCGATCTTGAAGGAGAAGAGATGGATCCAAACCCAGAGGGACTGAGACTCCAGAGACCAACAAGGAACCAAGTCCAACTCTACTACTCCACCATGGACTCTGGGTGAGAGAGACCAGAGAGAGACACCAGAGAGAGACACCAGAGAGAGAGACCAGAGAGAGAGACCAGAGAGAGAGACCAGAGAGAGAGACCAGAGAGAGACCAGAGAGAGACCAGAGAGAGAGACCAGAGAGAGAGACCAGAGAGACCAGAGAGACCAGAAAGAGACCAGAGAGAGACCAGAGAGAGACCAGAGAGAGACCAGAGAGAGACCAGAGAGAGAGACCAGAGAGAGAGACCAGAGAGAGAGACCAGAGAGAGAGACCAGAGAGAGAGACCAGAGAGAGAGACCAGAGAGAGAGACCAGAGAGAGAGACCAGAGAGAGAGACCAGAGAGAGAGACAAGAGAGAGACCAGAGAGACCAGAGAGAGACCAGAGAGAGACCAGAGAGAGACCAGAGAGAGACCAGAGAGAGACCAGAGAGAGACCAGGGAGAGACCAGAGAGAGAGACCAGAGAGAGAGACCAGAGAGAGAGACCAGAGAGAGAGACCAGAGAGAGAGACCAGAGAGAGACCAGAGAGAGAGACCAGAGAGAGAGACCAGAGAGAGAGACCAGAGAGAGAGACCAGAGAGAGAGACCAGAGAGAGAGACCAGAGAGAGAGACCAGAGAGACCAGAGAGAGAGACCAGAGAGAGAGACCTGAGAGAGAGACCAGAGAGAGAGACCAGAGAGAGAGACCAGAGAGAGACCAGAGAGAGACCAGAGAGAGAGACCAGAGAGAGACCAGAGACCAGAGAGAGAGACCTGAGACCAGAGAGAGACCAGAGAGAGACCAGAGAGAGACCAGAGAGAGACCAGAGAGAGACCAGAGAGAGAGACCAGAGAGAGAGACCAGAGAGAGAGACCAGAGAGACCTGTAGAATGTTTGAAGCATGTCTGGTAACTGGTCTGTTGCACAGGTCTTGTGTGGACCATGGGGCTCAGTCTCAGAGGCAGCTTTTCTTCCTGCGGTCTCTGGGTTTGAAGGACCATCAAGACCAGCAGAGGCAGACCAGAGAGGAGGACCTGTGTCTGAACGGGAGGCAGGAGGCCGAGCTTCACCTGGACGACCATGTGACCATCAAATACCAGCGGGGGCCAGTACTACTGGGTCAGCCAATCAGAGTGTCCGTGCGTCTGCGAGCCAACTTCAGCCACGACTTTGTCATCGTCAGGTCAGAGTCTGTTTCTAATAATAATAATTCAACCAGAGGAGACAAGCCCACATGGTACAATGCCGTCTCTTTGTCTATATCTGGTATCTCTCTGGTCTCCCTCTGGTCTCTCTCTCTGGTCTTTCTCTGCTCTCCCTCATGGTCTCCCTCATGGTCTCCCTCTGGTCTCCCTCTGGTCTCCCTCTGGTCTCCCTCTGGTCTCCCTCTGGTCTCCTCTCTGGTCTCCCTCTGCTCTCCCTCTGGTCTCCCTCTGCTCTCCCTCTGGTCTCCCTCTGGTCTCCCTCTGGTCTCCCTCTGGTCTCCCTCTGGTCTCACATGGTCCCTCCTCAGGTTGCAGGTGCAGAAGGGGCTGGTGTCTCTCGTGGCTCAGAGGACTCTGACCTCTGACCTTTGGGCCGTGACCTTGGACTCATCACAGTCTGAGGACCACGACGAGCTGTCAATCCTCTGCCACAAGCACAAGACTGAGGCTGAGTAAGACTCTACTCTACTCTACTCTACTCTACTCTACTCTACTCTACTCTACCGTACCCTACCCTACTCTACAATACTCTACTCTACTCTACCCTACTCTACTCTACCCTACCCTACTCTACACTACTCTACTCTACTCTACTCTACCGTACCCTACCCTACTCTACAATACTCTACCCTACCCTACTCTACAATACTCTACTCTACTCTACCCTACTCTACTCTACCCTACTCTACTCTACCCTACCCTACTCTACACTACTCTACTCTACTCTACCCTACCCTACTCTACAATACTCTACTCTACAATACTCTACCCTACCCTACTCTACAATACTCTACTCTACAATACTCTACCCTACCCTACTCTACAATACTCTACTCTACCCTACCCTACTCTACACTACTCTACTCTACCCTACCCTACTCTACAATACTCTACTCTACCCTACCCTACTCTACAATACTCTACTCTACTCTACTCTACTCTACTCTACCCTACCCTACCCTACAATACTCTACTCTACTCTACCCTACCCTACTCTACAATCCTGTACTCTACTCTACTCTACTCTACTCTATAATACTCTACACTACTCTACCCTACTATACAATACTGTACTCTACTCTACTCTACTTTCGACCAGAGAAAAACCAGGGAGAGAGAGCAGAGAGTGAGACCAGAGAGAGACCAGAGAGAGACCAGAGAGAGACCAGAGAGAAAGACCAGAGGGAGCCAAAGAGCACAGGCCATTGATCCGAATGGGCAGATTTCTTTTATAGACCAGGGGCAGACATCTTGGAGAGACCAGGGGCAGACATCTTGGAGAGACCAGGGGCAGACATCTTGGAGAGACCAGGGGCAGACATCTTGGAGAGACCAGGGGCAGACATCTTGGAGAGACCAGAGGCAGACATCTTGGAGAGACCAGGGGCAGACATCTTGGAGAGACCAGGGGCAGACATCTTGGAGAGACCAGGGGCAGACATCTTGGAGAGACCAGGGGCAGACATCTTGGAGAGACCAGGGGCAGACATCTTGGAGAGACCAGGGGCAGACATCTTGGAGAGACCAGAGGCAGACATCTTGGAGAGACCAGGGGCAGACATCTTGGAGAGACCAGAGGCAGACATCTTGGAGAGACCAGAGGCAGACATCTTAGAGAGACCAGGGGCAGACATCTTGGAGAGACCAGAGGCAGACATCTTGGAGAGACCAGGGGCAGACATCTTGGAGAGACCAGAGGCAGACATCTTGGACAGACCAGGGGCAGACATCTTGGACAGACCTAGGGCTCGATTGTGGCGACGTTGGTGTCCTGCTAACTGGTGTGTCTGTGTCTGCAGTCCTACCTCACTCCAGCAGGTGGTGTGCTTGTCTGTGGATGGTCTGAGGAGGAGTTTCGGCGTGGCCATGTCGGTGCGAGCGCAGTGGTGGCTGGAGTACTCTGGTCACTCCCTCCCTCCACCACACGGGGCAGGAGAGAGCATATTCACGTTCACAGACAGAGACATCCTCGGCATCGCCCCCATCACCGAGGTAATTATTCACATGTGATCTATCACAGTGTTTCCCAACATGGGGTACCGTTGTTGAACTGCTCTCTCTCTGGTCTCTCTCTGGTCTCTCTCTGGTCTCTCTCTGGTCTCTCCCTGGTCTCTCTCTGGTCTCTCTCTGGTATCTCTCTGGTATCTCTCTGGTCTCTCTCTGGTCTCTCTCTGGTCTCTCTCTGGTCTCTCCCTGCTCTCTCTCTGGTCTCTCTCTAGTCTCTCTCTAGTCTCTCTCTGGTCTCTGGTCTCTCTCTGGTCTCTCTCTGGTCTCTCTCTGGTCTCTCTCTGGTCTCTCCCTGGTCTCTCTCTGGTCTCTCTCTGGTCTCTCTCTGGTCTCTCCCTGGTCTCTCTCTGGTCTCTCCCTGGTCTCTCCCTGGTCTCTCCCTGGTCTCTCCCTGGTCTCTCCCTGGTCTCTCCCTGGTCTCTCTGGTCTCTCTCTGGTCTCTCTCTGGTCTCTCTCTGGTCTCTCCCTGGTCTCTCTCTGGTCTCTCTCTGGTCTCTCTGGTCTCTCTCTGGTCTCTCCCTGGTCTCTCTCTGGTCTCTCTCTGGTCTCTCTGGTCTCTCCCTGGTCTCTCTCTGGTCTCCCTGGTCTCTCTCTGGTCTCTCTCTGGTCTCTCTCTGGTCTCTCTCTGGTCTCTCCCTGGTCTCTCTCTGGTCTCTCTCTGGTCTCTCTGGTCTCTCTCTGGTCTCTCCCTGGTCTCTCTCTGGTCTCTCTCTAGTCTCTCTCTGGTCTCTCTGGTCTCTCTCTGGTCTCTCTCTGGTCTCTCTCTGGTCTCTCTCTGGTCTCTCTCTGGTCTCTCTCTGGTCTCTCTCTGGTCTCTCCCTGGTCTCTCCCTGGTCTCTCCCTGGTCTCTCCCTGGTCTCTCCCTGGTCTCTCTCTGGTCTCTCTCTGGTCTCTCTCTGGTCTCTCTCTGGTCTCTCTCTGGTCTCTCTCTGGTCTCTCTCTGGTCTCTCTCTGGTCTCTCTCTGGTCTCTCCCTGGTCTCTCCCTGGTCTCTCTCTGGTCTCTCTCTGGTCTCTCTCTGGTCTCTCTCTGGTCTCTCTCTGGTCTCTCTCTGGTCTCTCTCTGGTCTCTCTCTCTGGTCTCTCTCTGGTCTCTCTCTGGTCTCTCTCTGGTCTCTCCCTGGTCTCTCTCTGGTCTCTCTCTGGTCTCTCTCTGGTCTCTCTCTCTGGTCTCTCTCTGGTCTCTCTCTGGTCTCTCTCTGGTCTCTCTCTGGTCTCTCTCTGGTCTCTCTCTGGTCTCTCTCTGGTCTCTCTCTGGTCTCTCTCTGGTCTCTCCCTGGTCTCTCCCTGGTCTCTCTCTGGTCTCTCTCTGGTCTCTCTCTGGTCTCTCTCTGGTCTCTCTCTGGTCTCTCTCTGGTCTCTCTCTGGTCTCTCTCTCTGGTCTCTCTCTGGTCTCTCTCTGGTCTCTCTCTGGTCTCTCCCTGGTCTCTCCCTGGTCTCTCTCTGGTCTCTCTCTGGTCTCTCTCTGGTCTCTCCATGGTCTCTCCCTGGTCTCTCTCTGGTCTCTCTCTGGTATCTCTCTGGTATCTCTCTGGTCTCTCTCTGGTCTCTCTGGTGACAGCGACAAACAATACATGTTTTTTCTCTCTGGTCTCTCTCTCTCTCTGGTCCAGAGAAGACCAGAGAGAGACCAGGAGAGCCAGACAGACCAGACACAGACCAGAGACAGACCAGAGACAGACCAGACACAGACCAGAGACAGACCAGAGACAGACCAGAGACAGACCAGAGAGAGACCAGAGAGAAACCAGAGAGAGACCAGAGAGAGACCAGAGAGAGAGACCAGAGAGAGACCAGAGAGAGACCAGAGAGAGACCAGAGAGAGACCAGAGAGAGAGACCAGAGAAAGACCAGAGAGAGACCAGAGAGAGACCAGAGAGAGACCAGAGAGAGACCAGAGTGAGCCCTTCCCTCGCAGCAGTGAACTCTCCGTCCTCCATCGTTCTCTTTGCATCACGTCAAAAACACATGTAATATTTACTAAGTTTTAATCCAAACTGACGCCTTTTGTTTCACTCTTCTCTGTGACGCGGAGAGGAAGAAACAGGAGCTCTAACTTTGACATCTAATAAAAGTCTAAAGTCTCCTCGTGTAAAATCTATGACTTATTTAAATAGATTCGTATCTCTAAAGAACCATCTCTAACTTTATCTAACTTCACTTGTGCCGAGCTGCTTAGAGATCTCAGACATGTAAAGACTCTGGTCTCTCTCTGGTCTCTCTCTGGTCTCTCTCTGGTCTCTCTCTCTGGTCTCTCTCTGGTCTCTCTCTGGTCTCTCTCTGGTCTTCTCTCTCTGGTCTCTCTCTGGTCTCTCTCTCTCTCTGGTCTCTCTCTGGTCTCTCTCTCTCTCTGGTCTCTCTCTGGTCTCTCTCTGGTCTCTCTCTGGTCTCTCTCTGGTCTCTCTCTGGTCTCCCTCTGGTCTCTCTCTGGTCTCTCTCTCTGGTCTCTCTCTCTCTGGTCTCTCTCTGGTCTCTCTCTCTCTCTGGTCTCTCTCTGGTCTCTCTCTCTCTCTGGTCTCTCTCTGGTCTCTCTCTGGTCTCTCTCTGGTCTCTCTCTGGTCTCTCTCTGGTCTCCCTCTGGTCTCTCTCTCTCTCTGGTCTCTCTCTCTCTGGTCTCTCTCTGGTCTCTCTCTGGTCTCTCTCTGGTCTCTCTCTCTCTCTCTCTCTCTCTCTCTCTCTCTCTGGTCTCTCTCTGGTCTCTCTCTCTCTCTGGTCTCTCTCTGGTCTCTCTCACATGAGTGTGGCATAATCCCAGGATATTTTGTGTGTGTCTGGTGTGTGATTTGCCTTTTGCTAAAATAGGGATTAAAGTGAGACCACATTTTGCAGCTTAAACATCTGCGAGTTTGTATTAAATCTTTAAACTCTGGAGACTTTTGACCAGCGACAAAACAAATACATGTTTTTTGTCGAGGGGTTTGAGATTTCGCTCCTGGAGACACAACACTGGGAAAGGTTGGCCTGTTTTTTGGACCCATGTCAGAGAGAGACCAGAGAGAGACCAGAGAGAGACCAGAGAGAGACCAGAGAGAGACCAGAGACAGACCAGAGACAGACCAGAGAGAGACCAGAGAGAGACCAGAGACAGACCAGAGAGAGACTAGAGAGAGACCAGGGAGAGACCAGGGAGAGACCAGGGAGAGACCAGGGAGAGACCAGAGAGAGGGACCAGAGAGAGAGACTAGAGAGAGACCAGGGAGAGACCAGTGAGAGACCAGAGAGAGACCAGAGAGAGACCAGAGAGAGACCAGAGAGAGACCAGAGAGAGAGACCAGAGAGAGAGACCAGAGAGAGAGACCAGAGAGAGAGACTAGAGAGAGACCAGGGAGAGACCAGTGAGAGACCAGTGAGAGAGAGACCAGAGAGAGAGACCAGAGAGAGAGACCAGAGAGAGACCAGAGAGAGACCAGAGAGAGACCAGAGAGAGACCAGAGAGAGACCAGAGAGAGAGACCAGAGAGAGAGACCAGAGAGAGAGACCAGAGAGAGAGACTAGAGAGAGACCAGGGAGAGACCAGTGAGAGACCAGTGAGAGACCAGAGAGAGAGAGACCAGAGAGACCAAAGAGAGAGACCAGGGAGAGAGACTAGAGAGAGACCAGGGAGAGACCAGGGAGAGACTAGGGAGAGACCAGGGAGAGACCAGAGAGAGACCAGAGAGAGACCAGAGAGAGACCAGAGAGAGACCAGAGAGAGACCAGAGAGAGACCAGTGAGAGACCAGAGAGAGACCAGAGAGAGACCAGAGAGAGACCAGAGAGAGACCAGAGAGAGAGACCAGAGAGAGAGACCAGAGAGAGAGACCAGAGAGAGAGACTAGAGAGAGACCAGGGAGAGACCAGTGAGAGACCAGAGAGAGAGAGACCAGAGAGAGAGACCAGAGAGAGAGAGACCAGAGAGACCAAAGAGAGAGACCAGGGAGAGAGACTAGAGAGAGACCAGGGAGAGACCAGGGAGAGACTAGGGAGAGACCAGGGAGAGACCAGAGAGAGACCAGAGAGAGACCAGAGAGAGACCAGGGAGAGACCAGAGAGAGACCAGAGAGAGACCAGTGACAGACCAGAGAGAGACCAGAGAGAGACCAGAGAGAGACCAGTGAAAGACCAGAGAGAGACCAGAGAGACGTGGCCAATATGACGTGCGCTGACATGCTGCAATACCACCCCGGGCCGATGGGGGTGGAATTTTTGAAGTCTCTCGTTCAAATGAATGGAGCTGTGCCAGCTGACGCATGCACAGATGCGTTTTTTTCACAATTTTCTTGTGATTTTGGATAGCTCCAGTAGAGCACATTTTTTGGCCCATTAGTTAGAACGGCGGAGATAGACGTGACTCTGTCCGTTAATATCTACAGTCTATGGGTGTACGCTTGTAGCAACCGCACAAATAGAGAAAGACCAGAGTTTGTCATGTTCCAACTGTGTCTCATATAAAGGAGGACACTTTGAAAACATCACTGGAATGAGGCGGGCAAAGTGGATCAAGGCTTTCCCAGATAAGCGCCCCCTGCAGGCCACCCCAATGAAACGCAGCAATTTCTTCTGTTTTTTTTTTTTCCAAAAATGCCCAAAGTCAAGACTCTTTTGAGAAATATTTGTTAGTGCGCCCTCAGAATTGAGTGTCCCTGATTAAGACTGTTCCAACAACCGTACACCGCACAGGAGGAGAGCCTTTGACTCCAAAACAGACTTTACATGGTTTTACATGTTTTCTGTCCCACCTCTGCTCATGCGCCCCCTACAGGCCAGTTTAATGAAACACAAGAATAGAGAGAAAATCAGAAAGATGAAAAGATTTAAGCAGTGGCAGAGAGAACAGACCAGGGCGACAGTGGCTCAGTTGGTAGAGCATTGGCCTTTGGGCCTGAAGGTCGTGGGTTCGAGCCCACCGTCGAGACCTACTTCACGACTCCCACTGATGTCTGCTGTCGTTGTGTCCTTGGGCAAGACACTTAACCCCACTTTGCCTGAAGCCCCCACTGAAAGATCTCAGCTCCTGTGGACTCAGCACCTGCAGGAGGATCAGTGAGGGGCTGGTGCTCTGTGTACTGGGTGCAGCTCTGACTGCCACCCCCCCGACCCAGAAATGGATTAAGGGGAAGAAGATGGATGGATGGAGAGAACACAGACTGGTTTTATTTTGTACATATTATTGCTGTATTTCAGTGTCTCCCAAAGTGGGGTCTGCGGCCCCCTGGTGGGCTGCAAGGGTATTGCAGGGGGCCGCGAGAAGTCAAACAAACAAAAAAGTGTTATATAAATATTGTATGTCAAATTAATAATATTTTGTTTGTATTATTAACATATTTGTGTTCATTATTTGATTTGAATAATCAAATTGTAATCATTTTTTTTATTACAAAATGAGGTGCGTCATTTACATGTTTGTAGCAGAGACTATTTCCCCCAATAAAATAACAAGAAGAGCCTATTCTTAACGTTGTCTTCTTGGTTATTATTTCGGGGGGCCCCGCAGACCCGTCAGATTTTAAAAGGGGCCCCGGTGTTACTGACTTTGGGAATGGCTGCTGTATTTGAACACGTCTCAGCCAAAAGAACAGGTCGCAAGGCGGGTTGGAGGCCCAGTTGTTTGAACACAGCAGCTTGTGTCTCTCAGTTTGGAAAGAACCATGTGTTTAAGATTCATGTGTTTTTGCTCAGTGGAAATGAGACATACCCACTCATATATCTGCATATATATGTGAGACACGGAAAGAAAACCATTGGGCAGGCATTTTGGCTCAATTGAAAGCTGCTATGATAGAATGAATAGTGTACATTGCCATGGCAACTGTCCAATCCTGTACCATGTGTCATATACTGTGTGACCTTGTGCTTTGTTTGCGTTCAGAGCCATTAGCCGCTGGATTAGCAGCCTTCACAAACACTACGTTTCCCAGAAGCCTTTGGGGCACGGCTGGTCTATCAGGTCAAGGTCACATGGTGCCGTGGGTCACATGGTTCTGGACGAGTTACTGTCACAGCTGACGACAAAGACATGTGACACTGGTGCGTGAGGAGGGATTGATACAAGAGAAGACCAGAGAGAGACCAGAGAGAGACCAGAGAGAGACCAGAGAGAGACCAGAGAGAGAGACCAGAGAGAGACCAGAGAGAGACCAGAGAGAGACCAGAGAGAGACCAGAGAGAGACCAGAGAGAGACCAGTGAGAGATCAGAGAGAGACCAGAGAGAGACCAGAGAGAGACCAGTGAGAGATCAGAGAGAGACCAGAGAGAGACCAGAGAGAGACCAGAGAGAGACCAGAGAGAGACCAGAGAGAGACCAGAGAGAAACCAGAGAGAGACCAGAGAGAGACCAGAGAGAGACCAGAGAGAGACCAGAGAGAGACCAGAGAGAGACCAGAGAGAGACCAGAGAGAGACCAGAGAGAGACCAGAGAGAGACCAGAGAGAGACCAGAGAGAGACCAGAGAGAGACCAGAGAGAGATCAGAGAGAGACCAGAGAGAGACCAGAGAGAGACCAGAGAGAGACCAGAGAGAGACCAGAGAGAGACCAGAGAGAGACCAGAGAGAGACCATAGAAAGAGACCAGAGAGAGACCAGAGAGAGAGACACTAGAGATTTTTCGGCATTGTTTCTGGTTCCTAAGTCACGTACTCCAGCTTGTAAGTGTGAGCAGCTCAGTCACACAGGGGAAGCTCGGAGTAGAGCCGCTGCTTCTCCTCCTGGACCCTCAACCCTTCTCTCGCTGAGATATTTGAACTCCTCCACTTTAGCGAGGACCTCTGCACATACTAGGGGTGGGAACCTCAGGGTACCTCACGATAACGATTATATCACAATATGACGATTATCGATATATTGGTCAGAATATATGGCATACATAAAATAGAACAATGTTAAGTGAAAAAATACACTTTATTTCTTGATAAATGGAATGGAGATGTGTAATGTAGCCATATATTAAGTATTGATACTAATAAAAAACAAAAACAAAAAAAAATTTTATTTTTATTTTTATTTTTTATTGATACTTGCATCAATAAAATGCATATCGATAACGTATCACTCCTAGCACATACCATCATTACCATTAGCACTGATGAGAGCTAATTATAACAGATGGATGCTGACATGATGCTGGCATGCTAACATGATGCTAATATGATGCTAACATGATGCTAATATGATGCTAATATGATGCTAACATGATGCTAATATGATGCTAACATGATGCTAACATAAGTCTAACATGATGCTAATTCATCATAATCAGAAGTGTAACGTGATCGCTTTAATCACTGGATGATTCTAATCTCCCAGATTTAACTGCTATGAACTAATGCGGCTGAGAGACCAGGGAGAGACCAGGGAGAGACCAGGGAGAGACCAGGGAGAGACCAGGGAGAGACCAGGGAGAGACCAGGGAGAGACCAGGGAGAGACCAGGGAGAGACCAGGGAGAGACCAGAGAGAAGAGACAGACCTGAACTGAACCATGACTATCAAATACAGTATTTACTGTTTTGCCTCTGGGAGGTCAGACAGGAGGCTATGGCTAGAAACCAGAGAAAGACCAGAGGGAGAGACCAGAGAGAGAGACCAGAGGGAGAGACCAGAGAGAGAGACCAGGGAGAGACCAGAGAGAGACCAGAGAAAGACTAGAGAGAGACTACTAGAGAGAGAGACCAGAGAAAGACCATGGTGCTTTGCTGTTACTGTGTTATGAAAAAGTTTGGGCGCCCCTTTGTTTGATGAATAAAGTTTTTATCATTTACAGAAACTTGAAGAATTATTTAACCAGAATCAAGTAGTTCCTCTCGATGGCTTCAATTTCTACTTTTATTTTTAAAGCCATTCATCGATGGTTTAGTCCTGGTCCCCGCAGACCCTTGTTCCAGCTCCTGGTGTCGGATCAGCTCCTGGTTCCGTAGCCGCGGCTGGTCCTGGGAGAGCCGTGTGCAGAGCCGATCCTTTTGGACTCAGACTCGGATTATTTTAGTCCCTAACATCCATCTTTCATGTGCGCCACGAATAAATGAAACTCAATATTTAAGCAGCTTCGTCTTCTCTCACGCCTCACGGAACCAACTCACCTCGAGCTGAAGAGCAAGAGAAAGGACCAAGGACAGAGACTAGAAGTGTTCTGTGATACAGGATTCAACAGGGAAGGACTTTAAGACTGGGGCCTGAGAGAGAGAGAGAGAGAGAGAGAGACCAGAGAGAGAGAGACTAGAGAGAGACCAGAGGCTAGAGAGAGAGAGACTAGAGAGAGACCAGAGAGAGAGACTAGAGAGAGACCAGAGGCTAGAGAGAGAGAGACTAGAGAGAGACCAGAGAGAGAGACTAGAGAGAGACCAGAGGCTAGAGAGAGAGAGACTAGAGAGAGACCAGAGAGAGAGACTAGAGAGAGACCAGAGAGAGAGAGACTAGTGAGAGACCAGAGGCTAGAGAGAGAGCAGGAGAGAGAGACCAGAAACTAGAGAGAGTGCAGAGAGAGATAGAGAGACCAGAGGGAGAGAAACCAGAGAGAAAAGAGAGAGTGGGGGAGAGAGACCGAGAGAGAGTGCAGAGAAAGACCTCCTCTCTCCTCTCTCTCCTCTCTCCTCTCCTCTCTCTCCTCTCTCCTCTCCTCTCCTCTCTCTCCTCTCTCCTCTCCTCTCTCCTCTCTCCTCTCTCCTCTCTCTCCTCTCTCTCCTCTCTCCTCCCCTCTCTTCTCTCTTCCCTCTCTCCTCTCTCTTCTCTCTCCTCTCTCCTCTCCTCTCCTCTCTCTCCTCTCCGACCCTGGAGTCTCTCTCGTGCGGACATGTTTGTGTGTCCGTATCGTGAGAGGCTGAAGCTCGCTGATCCTGAAAGAACCTCCAGACAGATGGAGAGAGAGGTGTGTGGCTCCGGCTTATTTTTGGAAGCGGATCGTCCCAAATGGAGAACACACGGGGGAGTCCGGGTCATGGAGAGGCATCACACAACACGGTCTAAAGAAAGAGATGTAGTCATTTCTATCTCCTGTAATAACACATGGGGACAGTCCTGGGTCTACAGCCTCAGTCCTAGGTCTACAGCCTCAGTCCTGGGTCTACAGCCTCAGTCCTGGGTCTACAGTCTCAGTCCTGGGTCTACAGCCTCAGTCCTGGGTCTACAGCCTCAGTCTTGGGTTAATAGCCTCTCTCTTTAGTCTCTCTCTGGGTTCTATCTTTAGTCTCTCTCTGGTCTCTCTCTCTGGGTTCTATCTTTAGTCTCTCTCTGGTCTCTCTCTAGTCTCTCTCTGGTCTCTTTAGTCTCTCTCTGGTCTCTCTCTGGTCTCTTTAGTCTCTCGCTGGACTCTCTCTTTAGTCTCTCTTGAGTCTCTCTCTGATGTCTCTCTGGTCTCTCTCTTTAGTCTCTCTCTCTGGTCTCTTTAGTCTCTCGCTGGTCTCTCTCTTTAGCCTCTCTCTGGTCTCTCTCTTTAGCCTCTCTCTGGTCTCTCTCTTTGGTCACTCTCTGGGCTCTCTCTTTAGTCTCTCTGATCTTGTGTCCAGGCTGATATTCTGTACCTTTGCTCCATGTTCCTGTGTGTCTCTGATGTACCTTTTCTCCCTGTTTCTGTGGTTGCAGAGTGTGCCGCGGGCAGGACCTGGGCTCTCGCCTCCGCCCTGTTCCCATGTCGCCCTCTGACTTTTTGGACAAACTCATGGGAAGAACGTCCGGCTACGACGCCCGCATCAGACCCAACTTTAAAGGTGAACTTACACACTGTCCTCCCCCTCTTTCTGGTCTCTCTCTGGTCTCTCTCTCCCTGGTCTCTCTCTCTCTGGTCTCTCTCTCTCTGGTCTCTCTCTGGTCTCTCCCTGGTTTCTCACTCTGGTCTCTTTCTCTGGTCTCTCTCTTTGGTCCCTCTCTGGTCCCTCTCTGGTCTCTCTTTGGTCTCTCTCTCTGGTCTCTCTCTCTGGTCTATCGCTCTGGTCTCTCTCTGGTGTCTCGCTCTAGTCTCTCTCTCTGGTCCCTCTCTTTGGTCTCTCTCTGGTCCCTCTCTGTTCGCTCTCTCTAATCTCTCTCTCTTGTTTCTCTCTGGTCCCTCTCTGATCCCTCTCTCTCTGGTCTCTCTCCCATTTTATCAGCTCAACCAAACTAAAGTTTCTCTTCTTTTCTCTCGGCGTGACTTTGTCGTAGCCTGTTCTTCCGCTGAGACAGAAACTTGTCGTTTTAAAAATGAGTGACTCTTCTTAACGTTAAAGATTTAAAGATGTCAGTGCGAGTCTGAGAGATTTGTTTTAATGGAGGAGGGACGTGACGAGGCCTGAGGCGAGACCAGGACGAGACCGCTGAGCAGACAAGTTTTTGTTTCTCTGCGGTTTAAATAGTTTGTCCTGTGTTTGTGTTAAAGGTCCCCCAGTGAACGTCTCCTGCAACATCTTCATCAACAGTTTTGGATCTATTGCTGAGACCACGATGGTGAGTTACAACACAACAGAGGACACACTCTGGATCTCGTCATCATCTGATTCAGGACTGCGGCTAATATTTATCTCTCTGGTCTCTCTATCTGGTCTCTCTCTCATGTCTCGCTCTCTGGTCTCTCTCCCTCTACCCTCTCTCTGGTATCTCTTTCTGCTCTCTCTCTTGTCTCTCAAATCTTTCTTTCTCGCTCTGGTCTCTTTCTGGTCTCTCTCTCTCTCTCTCTCTCTGGTCTCACAACAGAGTACACACTCTAGATCTGCTCAACACTTAAAATATAAAATATTTGAGTATTCTATTGATCATTTCCTTGCTCAGACCATTTCCTGGTTCAGTTTCTGGTTATATCTGGGTTTATTCTTGGTTTATTTATTGTATTAGACTATTTTACACGGAAATTGGGAATTAATCGAGAAGGCTGCATAGTCTCCCTGTATGGTAGGAGTGACTAGTGTACCTCCCGATGCTATTAGGTTTGCCTCTCCCGGCGTCTTGGCTCAGCGCGGTCCTGGACATGGGTGATTCAGACATAGATCCTCAGCCTCGGATCCTCGGGCAGGTTTCTGTGACTGTTCCAAGGTCAAGGCTCCGGACCAAGGGTGAGCCTTCTCTGTCCGGGGTCCTCGGCTTTGGAACCACCTGCCCGAGGAGATAAGGCTCCATCAGCATCCTCTTTTAAATCAATTCTTAAAACCTACTTCCCATCTTGTATTTGTCTTTGCCAATTCATGGTCTTTCGACTTGAATCTCCAATTGTTGCTTTGAGATGTCGTTATTGAAATAGAAGTCGACATTTTCCCAGATTCAACATGAAATGGCTTTGCAGAAAAAGAGGGAAACAGCCTCTTCACCTGCGGCCATTTTGTGTCTATTGTTAACAACATGAGGAGTGTTCTGCCCCTGCTTCAGACCTTCTCTCTGGTCTCTCTCTGGTCTCTGTCTGGTCTCTATCTCTGGTCTGTCTCTGGTCTCTCTCTCTCTGGTCTCTATCTCTGATCGCTCTCTGGTCTCTCTCTGGTCTCTTTCTGGTCTCTCTCTGGTCTCTCTCTGGTCTCTCTCTTGTGGGTGATGTCACGCCCGGCTCTGGTGTCTCTTTCACTCTGGGACCATGTGTCAGTCCTGGATTAGACGTTTGTCTCTGGTCCATCTGCTGCCATCTTCTCAGGCTCAAGTGTGACATAATCCAAGTGCACAGCCACATGTTCCAGATGATTGGTATTGCACATAAGAGAGACCAGAGAGAGAGAGACCAGAGAAAGAGACCAGAGAAAGAGACCAGAGAAAGAGACCAGAGAGAGAGACCAGAGAGAGAGACCAGAGAGAGAGACCGGAGAGAGAGACCGGAGAGAGAGACCGGAGAGAGAGACCAGAGAGAGAGACCAGAGAGAGAGACCGGAGAGAGAGACCGGAGAGAGAGACCAGAGAGAGAGACCAGAGAGAGACCAGAGAGAGAGACCAGAGCGAGAGACCAAAGCGAGACCAGAGAGAGAGACAGGAGAGACCAGAGTGATAGAGACCAGAGTGATAGAGACCAGAGAGAGAGACCAGAGAGAGACCAGAGAGAGAGAGACCAGAGAGAGAGACCGGAGAGAGAGACCAGAGAGAGAGACCAGAGAGAGAGACCAGAGAGAGACCAGAGAGAGAGACCGGAGAGAGAGACCGGAGAGAGGGACCGGAGAGAGGGACCAGAGAGAGAGACCAGAGAGAGAGACCAGAGAGAGAGACCAGAGAGAGAGACCAGAGCAAGAGACCAAAGCGAGACCAGAGTGATAGAGACCAGAGAGTGAGACCAGAGTGAGACCAGAGTGAGACCAGAGTGAGACCAGAGTGAGACCAGAGTGAGACCACAGCGAGACCAGAGACAGAGAGACCAGAGAGAGACCACAGCGAGACCAGAGACAGAGAGACCAGAGAGAGAGTGAGACCAGAGAGAGACCAGAGAGAGACCTGAGTGAGACCTGAGTGAGACCTGAGTGAGACCTGAGTGAGACCTGAGTGAGACCAGAGTGAGACCAGAGTGAGACCAGAGTGAGACCTGAGTGAGACCTGAGTGAGACCTGAGTGAGACCTGAGTGAGACCTGAGTGAGACCTGAGTGAGACCAGAGACAGAACAGAGAATTGGAGCCAAACCTCAGTCACAGCCCAAACAAAAAGGTTCTTCCTCAGAGGTTTTGACCTGAATAAATCTGTATTTTCTCTGAGAACAAAGGTCTTAATCTGTGGCTGGTGATGTTTACCAGATTTAACCAGATTTAACCAGATTTAACCAGATTTAACCAGATTTAAGCTGCGGCTGCACACAGAGGGAGGAAGGGCTGACTCTTATTTATAGTCTTTTTGCCTGCAGCCAAAAGGGTCGTACGGTGACTCACAGGGCTCTTCCTCACGAGTGTGTAGTGCGTCTTCTGGTCTATCTCTAGTCTCTCTCTGGTCTCTCTCTAGTCTCTCTCTGGTCTCTCTCTGGTCTCCCTCTGCTCTCTCTCTTGTCTCCCTCTGGTCTATCTCCGGTCTCCCTCTGGTCTCCCTCTTGTCTCCCTCTGGTCTCCCTCTTGTCTCCCTCTGGTCTCCCTCTGGTGTCTCTCTGGTCTCTCTCTCTGGTCCCTCTCTGGTCTCTCTCTGGTCTCTCTCTGGTCTCCCTCTGGTCTCTCTCTGCTCTCTCTCTGGTCTCCCTCTGGTCTCCCTCCGGTCTCCCTCTGGTCTCCCTCTGGTGTCTCTCTGGTCTCTCTCTGGTCTCTCTCTGCTCTCTCTCTGGTCTCCCTCTGGTCTCCCTCCGGTCTCCCTCTGGTCTCCCTCTGGTGTCTCTCTGGTCTCTCTCTGGTCTCTCTCTGGTCTCTCTCTGGTCTCTCTCGTCTCCCTCTGGTCTTCCTCTGGTCTCTCTCTGGTCTCTCTCTGGTCTCTCTCTGGTACCCTCTCTCTGGTCTCTCTCGTCTCCCTCTGGTCTTCCTCTGGTCTCTCTCTGGGAGCACAGGACCTTCTCTGTGGTCTCAAACCCAGAGCACAGGACCTTCTCTGTGGTCTTAAACCCAGAGCACAGGGCCTTCTCTGTGGTCTTAAACCCAGAGCACAGGGCCTTCTCTGTGGTCTTAAACCCAGAGCACAGGGCCTTCTCTGTGGTCTTAAACCCAGAGCACAGGGCCTTCTCTGTGGTCTTAAACCCAGAGCACAGGGCCTTCTCTGTGGTCTTAAACCCAGAGCACAGGGCCTTCTCTGTGGTCTTAAACCCAGAGCACAGGGCCTTCTCTGTGGTCTTAAACCCAGAGCACAGGGCCTTCTCTGTGGTCTTAAACCCAGAGCACAGGGCCTTCTCTGTGGTCTTAAACCCAGAGCACAGGGCCTTCTCTGTGGTCTTAAACCCAGAGCACAGGACCTTCTGTGGTCTTAAACCCAGAGCACAGGGCCTTCTCTGTGGTCTTAAACCCAGAGCACAGGGCCTTGTCTGTGGTCTTAAACCCAGAGCACAGGGCCTTCTCTGTGGTCTTAAACCCAGAGCACAGGGCCTTCTCTGTGGTCTTAAACCCAGAGCACAGGGCCTTCTCTGTGGTCTTAAACCCAGAGCACAGGGCCTTCTCTGTGGTCTTAAACCCAGAGCACAGGGCCTTCTCTGTGGTCTTAAACCCAGAGCACAGGGCCTTCTCTGTGGTCTTAAACCCAGAGCACAGGGCCTTCTCTGTGGTCTTAAACCCAGAGCACAGGGCCTTCTCTGTGGTCTTAAACCCAGAGCACAGGGCCTTCTCTGTGGTCTGCAGGACACACTTCACACAAACAGCCACGAGATCAGACGATAGTCACAGGAAGTCACTCAAAATAGTCTATGTGTCGTGTGTGTGTGTGTGTGTGTGCAGACGGTGAGGACTTCCCCAGACAGAGGTAGTTGGGGCTGGGGTTAAAATTAGGCCTGTATAGGGGTGGGAGAACCAGACTGTCTGACCTGTCTCCCCAGAAAGGAGCTCTCAAAATTGGGCTTTAAGGAACCCGTGCATAGCCAAAGAACCAGGGCTCCTATTCCACCAGTCTCCAGCGTTCTGGACAGCGTTCAGTGTTCTGGACAGCGTTCTGGACAGCATTGACAGCGTTCTGGACAGCGTTCTGGACAGCGTTCTGGGACAGCGTTCTGGACAGCGTTTGGACTGACAGAGTTCTGGAGGGAAGAGAGCGTTTTGGGGCAGCTTCTCTGTTCAACACTCAGAGCGGAGAGGGAAGGACAGCGGCCGAGGTGGAAGGAAAAAAGTTTAAAATACGTTCTGGACAGTTACTTCTAATCATTTGAGGCGATAAATACCCCCCTCTATTGCCATATCGGAGGTCTGGTGTTTGGGGATCAAATAGAACATTGTCGGACTAATGCAGCCTCGCGGAAAATTCAATTCTGGAAGACGTCAGCAAAGCCACCCCTTCCAGGCTGGCCTCGCATCCCCAGCCTATCGCACAGCAAACGCCCATTTCCAACCAACCTATGCCGGCCAGGCCAGCCGCTTAAAAGCGGAGAAACTCCCACTTTACGGCCTTCTCGAAGCCTTGCAAAGAGTCGTTCTGGAGGAATCGTTTTTTGTCTACTCACGCTTTCCTCGTGCGTGTCCCTGCTGTCCTCTGTCTTGCTGCGTGTGGTCTGCTCCTCCTCCGCGTCGCTTTGCTCCTGCTGCGGGTCTCGTGCTGTGGTCCGTGGGTCTTTTGCCGCTCTCCTCCTTTGCGGGCTCTTTCTGCGGGTTCGCCGCTGCTCGTCTCGTCGCGGCCTGCTGCTGCATACGGCCGGTCCATAAAAAATGTTTGTCTCTTGAACTACTTTTAAAGGCTTGATGTAACAACTGTGGTGTTTTTCTTCACCTTCGGGGAGGTCTGCATCACAGTGGATGCATTTTTTAATTTGACACACGTGTTTTTTAGCTGAGGTGCGATACTGATGTTTACATTCTTCACAGTATGCCACCTCATGGCACGGTATTCTATCATGGACTGGTTCTGGCAGTTTATGCTGCTTGAAGCAGTGGGAAGATTTGCAGATGCGTTTACACTCGGGGCATTTTATTGTTCTGTTTTTCCCTTTGCTTTCACATTGTGTGTAACAGATGTTACAAAGGTACTTACAGAGGTATTGTAAACTACCGCCGTATGGCTTGAGACAGTATTTGCACACATATGTACTCCCAAAGAACCCGGTTTTAATTTTGATATGATAGTAGTGATTCTCATAAAGGTATAAAGCTACTGTGCATTTGTGCATTCTATCCTGTGTTTCAAATGATTGAAGACGTTTAGTCGGTGGGTTGTTGTGAAAAACAAAATGTTTTATGTTCAACAGATTCTCAAACTTTGACACATCGTTCAGTGTTACGTTTGTTTGTTGATCCAGACCAACTGCAGCTTGCCACTCTTTGGCTTTATCGAGTAATTTACTATGCGTATAGTTGGCATGAAATGCAGCCTCGCGGAAATTCATTTGGAAGACGTCAGCCAAAGCCACCCCTTCCAGGCCGGCCTCGCATCCCCAGCCTATCGCACAGCAAACGCCCATTTCCAATCAATCTATGCCAGCCAGGCCAGCCGCTTAAAAGCGGAGAAACTCCCACTTCACGGCCTTCTCGAAGCCTTGCAAAGAGTCGTTCTGGAGGAATTGCTTTTGTCTACTCACGCTTACTCGTGCGGTCCCTGCTGCCCTCTGTCTTGCTGCGTGTGGTCTGCTCCTCCTCCGCGTCGCTGCACCTGCTGCGGGTCTCGTGCTGTGGTCCGTGGGTCTTTGCCGCTCTCCTCCTTTGCGGGCTCTTTCTGCGGGTTCACCGCTGCTCGTCTCGTCGCGGCCTGCTGCTGTGCGGGAGCCGTGCGCATCCCTGCCTCCTCGTGCCGGTACGGCGTGGTCCCGTTGTGTTTTCCCTTGTCTTCTGGCGTTGTGGGTAAGTATGCGGACGGTTTATTCCCCTCGCATTGTCCTGCAGGCTCGGTTTTGGCCCCGCGCTTTGCACTGCAGGCTCAGTTGGCCCCGCGCATTGGTGTGCAAGCTCTCAGTTTAAAGCCCTCGCATTGGTCTGCAGGCTCTCTTTAACCTCTCTTGGACTGCGGCTCTCTCTTTGAATCCCTCTCTTGGACTACAAGCTCTGTTTAAATCCCTCTTTGGACTGGGGCTCTAAGTTTGAATCCTTCACTCTGACTGCAAGCTCCGTTTTATTCCCTCACATTGGACTGCAAGCTCTCAGTTTTAATCCCTCACTTTGGACTGCAATCTCTAAGTTTAAATCCCTCACATTGGCCTGCAGGCTCTCTTTAAATCCCTCTCTTGGACTACAAGCTCTGTTTAAATCCCTCTCTTTGGACTGTGGCTCTCTCTTTGAATCCCTCTCTTGGACTACAGCTCTGTTTAAATCCCTCTTTGGACTGCGGCTCTCAATTTGAATCCCTCACATTGGACTGCAAGCTCTCAGTTTAATCCCTCACTTAGGACTGCAGGTTCTGTTTGGATCCCTCACACTGGACTGCAATCTCTCGGTTTTAATCCCTCTCTTTGGACTACAAGCTCTCAGTTTTAATCCCTCTCTTTGGACTACAAGCTCTCAGTATTAATCCCTCACTTTCGACTGCAGGCTCTGTTTAACTCCTTCACACTGGACTGCAGGCTCTCAGTTTAAACCCCTCACTTGGACTGTGGGCTCAGTTAATCCCTCACTTGGACTGTAAACTCTGTTTAAATCCCTCACACTGGACTGCAAGCTCTTGGTTTTAATCCCTCACTTGGACTACAAGCTCTCAGTTATAAATCCCTCATTTAGGACTGCAGGCAATGTTTGAATCCCTCACACTGGACTACAAGCTCTCAGTATTAATCCCTCACTTTGGACTACAAGTTGTTTAACCCCCTCACACTGGACTGCAGGCTCTCAGTTAAACACCTCACTTGGACTGCGGGCTCAGTTTTAATACCTCACTTTGGACTGCAAGCTCAGTTTTAATACCTCACTTTGGACTGCAAGCTCTGTTTAAATCCCTCACATTGGACTGCAAGCTCTGTTTAGGTTCCTCAGCGTCTCGTGTCCCGCAACCTCTCCCGGCTGTCCGTGAGCCCCAAGTCGTCACGCGGCTCGGCCGCGGGAGGTGTCCGTGGGCTACGTCATTGGCCCCTTCTCTCCGCCTCGCTCTAACCCGATGGGCATCGCCACCCGCAAGCACTCCGGGGAGAAGCGTCTCATATTCGTCCTCTCCTGTCCCCGCTCCGGGCCCGCCCCGAGCATCAACAGCCCCTTCCCTCCAGCGCCCTTCTCCCTGCAGTCCGCTACCGTGGTCCACGCGATCAGGCTGATAAAGACTTTCGGCCCCGGCTCCTGGCTCTCTAAGGCCGACATCCCGGACGCGTTCGAGCTGCTGCCCATCCACCCCGACCACTGGCGCTGTTCAGGGGTCAAGTGGCGTCAGAGTTCTTCTTCGCCGTGCGCCCCACCTTCGACTGCCGGAGTAGTCCCTCTCTGTTCAACAATCTCTCGGAGGCGCCGTGTCGGATTCTGCTTAATTACGCGCGGCTCCCCTCTGTCCTGCATCTCCCCGATGATTCCCTCGTAGTCAACCCACCCTCAGACTGCTCCGGGGGCTCTCTCCGCAAGCTCAAGCTCGCCTTCTCTGCCCTCGGATTCCTTCACTCCGAGGAGAAGACCACCGGCCCCGCCACCGCTTTGGAGTTCTCGGCATCCGCCTCATCACGCGCGCCGTGGAGGCCTCCCCCCCCGCCGGACAAGCTTGGGCGCATCCGCGCTTCTCCCGGTCTGCCTTGTCCTCTCCGTCACTTTCGAAGCGTCAGCTGCTCTCCCTCCTCGGGCACCTCAATGATGCTATCCGTATCATCCCTCAGGGTCGTTCTTTTATTTCCAAGCTCCTCTCCCTCGCTGGCTCCGTCCCCTCCCTCAATTTTTTTTTTTTTTTTTTTAACCTTTATTTAACCAGGAAAATACCCATTGAGATCGAGATCTCTTTTCCAAGGGAGTCCTGGCCAAGAGGTCTGTAGCACACGTCACAGGCACTTTACAGAGCAACAGTAAAACAATACAATAATAATACAATACAATAATACTACAAAGTACAAACAGTGAAACTACAAAACATGTACATAATCAAAAAATTAAAAACTAAAGGCAACTATATAACACGTTAAGTTTAAAAGCATGAGCACTTGGCAATGGTTGAGAACTGTTTTTTAAAAAGAAGTGAACGAAATGCGTTTAAAGACAACAATTTGGACCACTTCAGATCTGACTGCAGACTGTTCCATGCAGCGGGAGCAGAATACCTAAATGCCTGCTTTCCCAGCTCCGTCCGGACACGTGCAACAGTCAGAAGGTAAGAATCATTGGAACGTAGACTGTACAGGCTCTTGGTTCTCTGAAGAAGGGAGCACAGATAGACAGGAACCAAACCGAGAAGAGCTTTGTACACCAACAGCATCCAGTGTGTGTACCTCCTCACTGCCAGTGAAGGCCACTGGGCTTTAGCATAAAGTTCACAATGATGTGTGAGGCGACTACATCCCGTCACGTACCTCAAAGCACTGAGTCAGTTGTCAATGATGCTGTCTGCCGGAACGCTGGGTGCCGCTCCGACCTGGCATTCTGGTCCTGTCCGCTGAGACGCTGGAACGGTGTATCTTTTTCTACAGCGACGTCGTCCCGTCCTCAGATGCCCTGCGTTTCTTCACGGACGCAGCCCCGTCCGTGGGTTTTTGGGTTTTTTTCCAGGACCAGTGGTTCGCCGGGCCCAGGCCAGACTCTTTACCTCGAAGCATCTCCTCCGCACTCCATGAAATATATCTCGTGACCGTAGCCTGCGTGCTGTGGATCCATACGTGGCACAGAAAAAGGATTCCGTGATGCGTGTCAATCTCGACGTGGTAGAAATAATTAACAGAGGTCGTTCGTCCTCTCCCCAAGTCATGTCTTTCCTCAGAAGCATCACATGGCTCTCAGTCCTAAATAATTTCATCATCACCGCTCGTCACGTCCCCGGTCACCTTGACTGTATTGCTGACTGTCTCTCTCGCTTTAAATTCCAGGAGTTCCGACGCCTCTGCCCCTCTGCCAATTCAACGCCATGCCAGATCCCCTCCATGGAATCCCTCACCCTGGACTAGTCCCTCCGTCTCTTCACCTTCTCCTCTCCTCCGC